CATCTGAACACTTTATCTTTGCATTTTGCAAATCCTTGTTTGTTTGTTTGTTTTGTTTTGTTTTTGAGACAGGTTTCTCCGTATTGTTTTGGAGGCTGTCCTAGAACTCGCTCTGCAGACCAGGTTGGCCTCGAACTCACAGAGATCCGCCTGCCTCTGCCTCCCTAGTGCTGGGATTAAAGGCATGCGCCACCAACACCCGGATATTTTTTGCAAATCCTTTTAAAAGTCATTATGTCCTAAAAATTATGACTTATCTATATTCTTTCCAGGACTTTTTTTTTATCATGAATGGACTTTTTTGGTATCAATTGAAACGATCATGTTATTTCTGTCTTTGGGACCATTTATATGAGGTATTCATTGTCAGTTTGTGAATGATGAACCATCTCAACATCTCCCAAATAAAACCAACTTGTTCATAGTGAATGATTTGGTTTTGGGGATGGTTTGTGTCTGTGTAACTTTTGGAGATTTCATATTTGTATCCAGTGTACTCTGATTATGTACACAACCCCATGATCTTCTGTTGTCCCCCACCCCCACTACTGAATCCTTTCTTCTTCACAATGGCTCCTCCCTTTATGCTGTTTTTGTGCAGGACTTACAAAGGTGGTCACAGTTTCCATGCATTTATCCTTCTCTTTGGTCCATTGTAATCCTTCCCATATCTTCTATAGGAATAGCTGCTGATTATGTGATTAAAGCAGTGGAGAGACGTATATTCGAAGCTGGCAGCCAAACTTGGCAGTTCCTCCTTGTGTACTTTGGAGGCATGAAGAGTGCAGCACGAACAGGGTTGTGGATTCTTGCTCTCGAGAGCCACTCAGGTAAGGCAATGCATGGCAGTTAAGACTCCCTGCAAGGGACACTGAGAGACCACTGAATGAAGGAGGTAAAGCTGGATTATGGTGGAGACCCCAAGATGTTGGGCATGTCAAAGCACTGAGACATCTGCCAAGGAGAACTGTACACAGGAAATGCAGCCAGCCCAAGAGAGAGATATAATGTTGAAAGCAACAAAGCAAGAGTGGCAAAGCTATCCAAATCCTTTAAAACTGAAGCCTCGGATACTGGATGCACAGAGCTATAGTATTTGGGGCTTGCCCTACTTGCTTTGGTTTTGCTTTGGTCTAATATTTCCTCACTATGCCCCCACTTCTCACTTCTGAAAGGGAAAGTACATTCTGTGTCATCATGGTTGGAATTATGTGATTTGGCTTATTTTTGTTTTTAATGTATAGGGCAGTCACACATAACAGATTGCCTTAAGTATTAAAAGAAACTTTAGCTATTTGAATAGTGTGGCTGTTAAAGACTATGGGGTCTTTTGAAATTAGGCAGAATGCATTTTGTAACATCATGAGATAGCCAAATGCCTATAGGACCTAGGAACCAAATGTGCTATAACCTAAATGAGAAATTCCCCATAGGTTCATGTATTTGAATAGTTGGTCCACAGTTGGTGGTTCAGTTAGGGTTGTCCAAGCACAGAAAATGAAACACCATGTTCTCTCCTATATGAGTTGTAGCTTCAAATTTTGTTATATGTATTTAATTCGAAGTATATGTTGTGGTGACATATTATTTATGATCTAATAAAGCTACTAAAGATCAGAGAAGCAAACCAGCAGGCCACTAGCTCTTAGGTCTGCCTCAGCCTGAAAAGGCTGTCCTGTCCTTAGCGTGGCTGGAGAATAAATCTCTGAGACTGAACACTTGAATGCTATCTTATATACCTCTCTAGAGTTGGGATTAAAGGAGTGGGATCCCAGTGCTGAGCTCTCCTTTGTGTGAACTGTTTCTCTTTTAGACTGATTCACTCTAATATAAACCTGAGTGGCTCTGAACTCACAGAATCCATCTGCCTTTGTCTCCTGAATCCTGTGATTAAAGCTGTGTGCCACCACTGTCCAGCTTCTATATAGCTAACTAGTGTGGCTGGTGGAATTAAAGGTGTGTATCACCACTGCCTGGCTTTATGGCTGTGGCGAGCTTTGCATTTTGATCTCCAGCGGCTTTACTAAATCATTAACAATATATCACCACAACACATGAAAGCCAGGAATCTACTCATAAGCCATAGTAGGATTAGACTTTTAATGCACAGGGATACATAGATGTATTAGCTAATACATGTATAATAGCTGTACTACTTAATTTTCTATTGTTATGCTGAAATTCCATGACAACTTAAAAAGATTTTACTTTGACTTATAGCTCCAGGGGACTTCCTCCAATAGGCAGATTATCTGGATAAAATATAAACATAGAAATATCAGAACTAAATGACATTATATGTCAAATGAACTTAACAGACATCTACAGAATATTTCACCCAAATACCAAATAATATGTATTCCACTGACCAGCCCATGGAAGCTTCTTTAAAATGGACAACATTATTGAACACAAAACAAAGGTTAACAAATTCATAACATTTGAAATAACTTCATGCATCCTCTATGTTCATAACGCAGTAACACTTAAAATTGACAGTAAACAAATCTCCATAGAGATTAAATAACTCTATTGAATGGTGAATGGAGTGAAAAAGAAATTAAGAAATAAAAGCAATGGAACTAGATGAAAGTAAGAACAAAATGCAACAAAACTTCTGGGGCACATTAAAAACAGTCCTGTAAGGGAAATTTATTGCTCAAAGTGCCTATATTAAGAATTCAGAAAAAGAACAAATTAAACAAGTGAGTTGATGATGCACTCAAAAGATTTGAAAAACAAGAACAACCCCAAACTCAGTAGACAGCAAGACCAATAATAAAAACCAGAGCAGAGTCAGGCATGGTGGTGCACAACTTTATTCCCAGCATTTGGAAGGCAGAGGCAGACAGATCTCTGTAATTTTGAAGAAAACTTGGTCCACGTTGAGGGTTCTAGTCTGATCCATTGAGACCACTCCGAGTCTTCTATGATGAGTTCTAACTGGCTTACTTTGGAATAAATGATAACTTTAATGCTTCCAGTTGGGAGAAAGGCCTACTCTGTGATCACAGGGATAGAATCTGCTAGTGTTCAGGCATCTGTACTGGCCCCTCCTTGGGGTTCTGACAGGATGAGCCCTCAGCTGCAGTCACTAACAACAACACCTGGGCATATTCACTAAGTTCCTTTTAAAGGGGCCCTGGCCACCTCTTATCCTCCTCTCTTTCCTTCTCTGTCTGTCTCTGTCTCTGTCTGTCTCTGTCTCTCTGTCTCTGTCTGTCTCTGTCTCTGTCTCTCTCTCTGCCTCTCTTTCCTCTCTCCCACTGCTCCTGTTCCTGCAGGTCAGTTTTTCCCCTCCCCTATCCCCGTTTTACAATTCTTTTCCCCCAATAAAAACCTCTCCACTTGACCTCTGTTTCATGGCATCTTTCTCTCTTGCTCCACTTTTCTTAAATTACAACAGAATCTATAACTAATATGCTAATTATTTGGGGGTGGGGGGTTGGCCAACTTGATAAAAGCTAGAGTAATCTGGGAAGAGAGAACTTCAACTGAGAAAATGCCTCCATCAAACTGTAGGGGAGTCTGTGGGGGCATTTTCTGGGTTAATGATTGATGTGGGAGTGATGCCAACCCTAGTTATATGGCCCAGGGGTATGTGTATAAGAAAGCATGCTGAGAAAGCCATGGAGAGCAAGCTAGTAATCAGCATTTTTTCCTCTATGGCCTCTGCTTTAATGCCTGCCTCAACTTCCTGATCTGACTTCCCTTGAACTGTAATTGGAATGTGAGCCAAATAAACGCTTTCCTACCCAAAACGCTTCTTGTCTTAGTGTTTTATCACAGCAACAGAAAGCAAACAAGGACAAAGATGTTGAAAAGTTACATTGAACATAGAAAAGCAATAGCAACAACACATTGTATCTGAGAACATGATGATGCCATAGCTAACCAAAAAGAAAAAGGGTGAATTAGTTAAAAAGTGCAGAGATATATCACTGATTTATAGGGGAAATGCAAAGGGGCTTGCTTCACAAAACATGTAATGAGGAGCATTGCAGAGATATTGTAAATAAGGTACTTTAACATAATGTCTGCTTCAAATATGTCAAAAGATAGGCATACCTGCTATAGAACTCATTTTCAAATTTTGAATTTTCCTCATATGAAAGGGCAACACAAGAGAAAATAATTCTTTCAATTAGTACAGTAAGTTTATTTCTAATACTAAGAGTATAGGAATTTTCAGAAATGAAAGTCACTAAGCTGCTTAGTCTACGTTTTTGCTGCCTAGACTCTCCCTCCACCTTCTCTGGACTCACCTGAAGTTGCATTTGTTAGGTTCTTTAAAATATGGAACTAGTAATTTGGTGCTGTAATTTGGTAGTGACAGTTTCTCCCCAATGACATCAGCTTGAACTGGCATATGCTAATCCAATTTACTTTTTTTTTTTTTTTTTGGTTTTACGAGGCAGGGTTTCTCTGTATTGTTTTGGAGGCTGTCGGTCCAGCCCAGCCTTGAACTCACAGAGATCCACCTGCCTCTGCTTCCCGAGTGCTGGGATTAAAGGCGCCACCACCGCCCGGCCCAATTTACATCTTTGTCAGAATGAAAATGGCTACCTGTAGGCACTAGTCTCTGTGTGTTTCAACATCCCTTGTTCATAGACCACATTAGTAGTGTTAGTTTATCATTAAAATATTTTTATTTGAGGCATTCTATTTTCCACCAGAAAGAACTGTGACTCAAAAAGGCATCCATCCCTACATCAAACTATTAAGAGGATTTTTTCCACAAACCACTGCATGGAATGTTAGCACTTGGAAAAGTGACCTGTCATTAGCTGGAATGCCCTAATAATAAGCAAATAATAGGTGTTGGTGAAAATAATAGAAAGTCCTAGAAGAAGGTAGTGTAGAGGGATAAACATCATACCCGAGTCACCCTTTTGCACTGTGTGCACTGTCATCTTCAGGTCATTGCCCTTTCAGCCCACAGACTATATGTCAGCATCATACACAGGTATAAATAATCGCATCTAATGAAGGAAGCCAAATGGGGTCACATTCATTTTATTAACAGACAAATCAGAATCAAGTACCACACGGACAGGGCAGAACGAAGCTGCTGCTGCTACCAGTCCAGCTGATACACTGTCACTGTTTCTGCTGTTGTTCATTCCAAAAGGGAATGAGAACTAAGCTGCCAGCCACACGTGCTCCCATGGCTCGCTGTCAGCTTGCCTACACCCAAGAGAGCATCCTTCACCCCGCCCTTTATTGGGGTATTCGGATCACATACCCTCTACTGAAAACTCTGCCCTTAGGGCCAAGTCGCTCCTTATCATTGGCTAACACACTGATGACAAAATTCCTGCAACATGAATTCCAAAAGTTGTGGTCTCTTATGTTGTCTTCTGTTATGACAACTTCACAACTAAAATCAATTCCAGTATTACATAGCATTCTCTAACTTCAACATAATTGTCAGAATGGAGTTGCCATGATTTGCTTTGACAAATCTGGACTTATTCCCCAAACAATCTAGGGAAGGGAAGAAAAGAGATAAAACTCAATGCAGCAAAGAAGGTGACCAGCATCTCTTAAACTAATGATCAATGTGTTTCCAATAGGTATTGAGAATAAAACAAAGGAGGTAGAGACACTATGCAGGTATATAGTTACAGAAAGACACAGAACTATGGTTACATGCAATCATGCCTAAATAGATACACAATGAAATACCAAGGGTATAAAATGAACATTTTATTATACACTACCATATTTAGTTTTCAGAGTGCAGTGTTACCATTTGCAACACATGCTAAGTCATGTAAATATCATTTTTATTAACAGCATTTATATGATTGACACAGAGGTAGCTAAGAAAAACCCTCAGAAATATAGTTTGGTTTCTTCACCAAATGGGTAGTTTGGTAATAATGGCCATATTATTCATGGTCCAGAATAGTGAAAAGTATGTGATAATGTTTTGTGTGTGAGTGAAATAATATCATGTGAAACAAACACGTACTGGCCAACCTGTCAAGAGAATTACACGTAGTGTTTAGAACTGGATAATTCTGAGGAAATTAAAAGGGTCAAACCATCTTTTGGCTTCTTTACTATAGAGGCAGTTTGGTAATGATAGCTACAGCCATTTATTCCTTTTAGGAACAGAAAGAAAAATGGGTGATTTATACTTTATATCTGCCATACAGTTCATATACACACAGCTTCTCTAAGAAAATCAATACCCTGACACATGGATTGTCAGTTCCACAGTGTAAACACTCTAAGGCCAGGCTACTACCAAGGTGAGAGTTAGGATGGCCTGTGGTGGAGTCTGGAAGAGATATGCAACAGGATCCAACTCTACAGCACTCTCAGAATGTAGATCAATGGTACGCAGCAACGGCTAACAGTGAAAGAGCAAAATAAAAGGAATGATGAGTGCTATTTATTTCCTTTGCTCTCGATATAATTTAATTGTAACTTCATGTAATTTTAAACAATTGATTCACAAAATTCCTGAAATTTTACAATTATCAGCACTTTTAAGTTGGTGTGAGCTGCCTTTATGACATCACCATTTGAGTATAGGTTATGGGAGATGCCCTTCTGCATGCTGTGAATATGTTTCTCTTACTGGTTGATGAATAAAGTTGTTTCGGACAATGGACAGGCAGGATGTAATCAGGCAGGAAGTATAGGCTGGGCTTCCGGACTAGGAGACGGCTGGGAAGAGGAACGCAGGGAGTGAGTTGAGGAACAGACATCATGTAGCTGCTAAGGAAGCAAGAGGCTTGGGCATTCTCCGGCAAACCAAGAACCACATGGAGATACATAGATTAATAGAAATGTGTTAATAATTAAGAGAGAGCTAGCCAGTAAGAAGCCTAAGCCATTTTCCAAAGAGTTTATAATTAATAAAAGCCTTTGTGTGTTTATTTGGGACTAAATGAAAGCAGGACCAGGTGGGACAGAAATTTGGTCCACATGTGGCGCCCAACGCAAGGCAAGAATTTCCACGTGAAATATAGGTACATGCATATAAATATATTTACATATACATACATAAAGGCCCATATTCACACATATGTTCATAAACATACATAATCTTATCAACCTAAAAAGACACTGGTGGTATTTAGCATGGAAAGTATACCATAATGGTATTACATTAGGAGTTCATGTTTTTTTTTTCCTCACATCCTTATTGGGTTCCAATACATAAATCAAGGACTTCCTAAATTACATTAATATTACATTAGCATACTCATACGAGGTCTAAAAACATCAAATGTTCTTTACATATATGTTTAGCGCTATTGTCACTCACTTTTAGGTTCCATGAATACAAGAAAAATTAATATTATCCATTATATTTAAAATACAATTTTGAAACACATTTGGAAGACATTACACAATTTAAACTCTATAGACTTTTTTTTACCATGTTGTTTATATGAATGATTTCCCTTCAATACAATCTTTCTAATTAAAGTTTTTATTTTCTTGAAAGCTCTCATGTATTTCCACAAAATGGCATTTTCTAGTACTCTGTGGCATTCTTTGGCAGTCTCTAAGCTCATTTTTAAAACTGTACAACCAACTTGACAGGCATAAGGTGAACATTCAGGATGCTGCAAGGGCCTTCATCCTTGTGTGAATTCTCTGGTGCTTGGTGAGCACTGACCGCTGACTGAAGGTCTTCCCACACACATTACACTCGTAGGGTTTCTCCCCCGTGTGAGTTCTCTGGTGTTTAGTAAGAGCTGATTTTTCACAGAACGTTTTCCCACATTCATTACATTTGTAGGGTTTCTCTCCGGTGTGAGTTCTTTGATGTACAATCAGGTTTGACTTCACGCAGAATGACTTCCCACATTCACTGCATATAAACGGTTTCTCCCCTGTATGTGTTCTCTGGTGGACAGTGAGGGCTGACCTGTGGCAGAAGGATTTCCTACATGCATTACATTCATAGGGTTTCTCCCCTGTGTGTGTTCTTTGATGTTCAGTAAGGTTTGATTTGACGCAGAATGTTTTCCCACACTGCTTGCATTCATAGGGTTTTTCTCCTGTATGTGTTCGCTGGTGGTTGGTAAGGTGTGGTTTCTGGCAAAAGGCTTTCCCACACTCGGTACATTCATATGGTTTCTCTCCTGTGTGTGTTCTCTGGTGCTGGGTAAGGTTTGATTTCTCCCAAAACAATTTGCCACACTCACCACATTCAAAGGTTTTCTCCCCCAAGTGAGCTCTTCGAGACTGGGTGGGATGTGATTTCTTGCTGAAAAACTTCCCGTTCTCATGATATTCATAGGGTTTCGCCCCCATCTGTACTATCTGGTGTTTAAAGACAGCTGACTTTCCCCAAGGTTTGCTACTCACTTTATACTCTTGGGCAATCTTTCTTGTGTAAGCTTCCTGATGAACAATGAAAGCTGAACCATCACAGAAGATTTTCTCATATTCATTATGCTCATAAGGACTGTTTCCTGAAAGAGCTCTCTGCTGTCCAAACTGCAAATCCACATAAAAAGACTTTCTACAAATACTGCATTCATGTGGCTCCATGTGCAAATGGGTTTTCTGAGACACACTGAGCTTCAAACTGTCAATGAAAGTTCTTCCACATCCAGAGTGTTTATAGAGCATCTCCCCCAGCTGAGAGTGCTGGCTCGCACAAAGGGCCACTTCCTCATGGATGTCTTGTCCGTTTTCATTATACTCCAGAGGCTGATAAGAAACCACCTGAGTGAGGTCCTGGCAAAGGCTGAGGCCATCCCTTTGCTCATTATATTTACATGATTTTGCTCCTAGAGGAATTTTCCCATGTCTACTATTAGGGAGTAGTTTCTCACCTATATTAAACTCATTAAGCTTCTTTCTGGAATAGTTCTTTTTACTAATAATTACACCTGAAATATTCTTTAAGTTCATTTCACACGAGTCACATATTTTGAGAAAACTTGTTGAAGCAGGGTCCATTTCTAGACTGGAAGGTTCTCTTGTGTTACCACCACTCTCTACACGTATGACCTTGTTGGTGAGCACGAACGGCCAAAAGTGTCCATCTTGGTTTTCCTGGCTGCTCTCTAACAGGTCATCTGCTTTCCATTTCCTTTCTGCAAATGAGAAAAACAGATCACCACACCCTATGAATCTTAATACTCGTCTTCCTGCTAAGAAAGGTTTTACTAGGGGTGACGAAACGGAGAAAAAGGCCTCCACAGAAAGAGGAGGGCCTTGGGCAGTGAAAGCCCCTGAACACGTTTCTAACGGTTGTGGGGACTTCTACAGAAATTCTCGGCTCTGTGGTTAATTCCTGTATTTTAGATTCAGTTTCCTGATCCAAACTGAATCCAACATATTTCCTTTAGCATCCTAGTTTGAGGAGAAAAAAAATATGCAGGTGTAAAAGTAGGGATGGGAAACTGGTTATAATATTTAAAACATTATAAATATAGACCTCAAAAGTAGACACAAAATGATGGAGAAAAATAAAATGTATAGGAAATTAGAGCGGCTAATTCAGAAGTCACAATATTCAAAATGGTAAGGTGAGCCCAACAACCAATGAAAACCAGCACATTGGCAGCAAAGATTAGTAGTCAAGGGGTTTTCAGAGGGTGAACTGCACCAGGTGGGAACAAGACACAGCGAGCCTCATGCCTCACACACAGCACTAGAGGAGGTCCCCATCAGACGCCATGCTCTTCTGCAGTATACGTGATACACGCGTTAGAGTTCTGGAAACGCCCGCTTCTTCAGGTGAAAGGACAGTATGCAAGCCCAGGGTCTAGAGGTTCTTTTCTCTACCTTTATTTACAGGAATAGCTTTCTGCAATGCTGTAGGAAAGCATGCTAGAAAAGGTGGAATGAACTCCAAACACGCTGCAGCACTAGCAGGTGGAGGTTATCTGAGTTGTTATCCAAGGAACAGAACACTCACGAAGGAGCAGTTGAATATTTCTAAACACACAGGACACTGAGAAACGCACCAAAGGAAGAAGCAGATCTGGCAGAGCCCAAACACGGCTTATGCCAAGCACATCTTGTATTCTGCCCCAGATGCCATCTTTTCACACCCTGGTTGCTCTGAAACCCTCGTTAGTTTTCTATACTGGGTGTTTAAGCCTCTCTTTACTTCCAGGTTTTCATTTACATATAACATCTAACATCACATGTGTTTTATTTACATGTGGGACCCCTAACCATCATATTTCTGTATCTGTTACTGAAACTTTTAGTACACTTTATCATAAAAATCTTGGCTGTCCTAAACTGTTGGTACTCAATGCAAGAACATTAATCATATGCTCAATATTTAAAAACCTATGGGTCACTCTACTGTCCTAAAGACCAACAACTAAAGTTATAGTCCTAGCAAAAATAATTCAAAACAAAATAAGCAAATAAATCAAACTTCATCAACTGACTCCCATTAAATGTTTAAATCAACATTCAATACACTCATTAAGAATCTGCATGGAGGGATGAAAAACAAACTCTGCACTGCTAGCGCCACAGCAGACATGTAACTGCTCATCACCAGCCATGGTCCTCCCCAGCTAAGCTCATTTCAGTCCTGGTTCTCTTAGAACCTACGCAGCTTTCAATAAAATGCTACTGTAGTTGAAAAGTGATGAAAAATAATAAAGAGCCGGGCGTTGGTGGCGCACACCTTTAATCCCAGCACTCGGGAGGCAGAGGCAGGCGGATCTCTGGGAGTTCGAGGCCAGCCTGGTCTACAAAGCGAGTTCCAGGACAGGCTCCAAACCAATTCAGAGAAACCCTGTCTTGAAAAGGAAAGGGAGAGAGAGAGAGAGAGAGAGAGGGGGGGGGGGACAGGGAGGGAGGGAAGGAGGGAGGGAGGGAGGGAGGGGGAGGGAGAGAGAGAAGGGAAGGGAAAGAAGAGAAAGAAACAAACCACAGCAGGGATTACACCTGGGAAAGAACAAAGACAACACAGACTGCTTTTTCCTGTGCTCAGTGAGAAGTATCGTTATGAACAGGTGCAGGTGCTTTTGAAAGAAAAATAGTAGAGTGAGATGAAGCCAGTAAGAGTTGAACAGATGAAGTACAGGGAACCCATGGCTGCCACTCAGAAGAACCAGCAAGATGGTGAGGTTGGACTGTACTTGATTTCTCAAAAATGGAATCAGATTTTGTATAGCTTAGGTTTTCCTTCTTCATCTTCTCTACTGGATGGATATAATAACTTTATGAAAATGTATCATCCCATGATTGCTCTAGCTGACATAAAACCATGCCCTAGAAAAGGAACTAGAAAACTATGGCATGAGGAGCTTCCTTACAACTGAAACTCTCTTTTATGTTTTTTAAGGGGAAACAGTAGAAAAAGCAATAGGGATGGGGTGGAGGCAAGAGGGGCATGAGGACAGAGAAAGAGAGAAGAGCAGCAGCAGCAGTCAGGACCATACCAAAAGTATTGTCTGGTTTAAAAAAGAGATCTATCTTGACTTTAGATTTCATCTAACCACATACATAATACCATCAAAAACTGACACCTTCAAATAGATACATCTAGGGCTGGAGAGAAGGCTCAGCAGTTAAGAGCACCAGCTACTCTTTCAAAGATCCTGAGTTCAATTCCAGCAACCACATGGGGGCTCACAACTGTCTATAATGAGATTTGGTGCCCTTTTCTGGCAGATAGAGCCTGCACATTAATAAATAAATCTTTTTTTTAAAAGGGGAAAATAGATATATTTAGTTCCAGCCTCAGCTAGACATTCCATTCTTGGATAACTCCAAGATAATTCAAGCCATGTTTGACTCTTCTTGTACTCTTCATTCAACAGCAATCTCCGTGGCTCTATCTTCAAGATATCTGTAGGAACCCAGCACTTCTCAGGGCCTCTGAGATGGTCTTGGAGTACACAGGAGTTTTTTAGCTGGTGCCCCTCCTAGCTCATGTCCACCCACTGAACACACCACCACAACTACTGCACAAACCAGACAAATCCTCTCAAGCTGAAAATAAGTCTGTAGATTCAGTCTGATCTACATGAACTCAAAGCAGGATTTCTTGCATCCCTCAAGATAAAATTACTGCATCTTCCATGAACCATGGGGATACTACTCATATCATTCCACCAGTCTTGCCCATATATCTTACTTCCCAGCCACAATGGTCTCTCCACGATTGTTCAAACAGAACAAAACTGTCCTAGAGACCTGGCACTTCAAGTTCTCTCTGTCTAGAATGCTTTCAGTACACATAGTTTATTCTTACTCCCACAAAGTATTATATATAACACAGGACTCATTTAAAGTTTTCTCTATCCTCTGCCAAATAGCACGCATCGTCATGCTTTAGTTGCCCTTACCCTGTGTGAACTCTCTTTATCATACTTACCACTTACCACCAACTGACACTGTATACAAAGACGTATGTACTCAAGTATATATGAAAAGAAACAATTGTATCTACATTATTTTGCTCTTCACTGTAGTACATATTCTACAACATCTGGTATATTACTCTTTTAATTACCTAGAACATGACTGTAGCACAGCGAATGCTCACCACTGCATCCGTTAAATGGAATATATGGAAGTAAATGGGTATATGCTAGCTAATGAAAAGTGTCCAAAGAAAATAGAGAGAAGGTGCATAATTTGTAAAGACAGAGAAATTAACCAAGAAAAAAATCTAAGATGAAGCCAACTGACTTTGGATATATAGCTAAAAATTAAACACTCCAAAATGTCCAAGCAAAAGAAAAAGTGTTTATGAATAAGAGATGGATGGAGGCATCATTAAGGCAACAGGATGTGGAAAGCTGTTCTTGGTCATTTCTGAAAAAAATGTACTAAAGGTAGTTGTGGTGGTTTGAATAGGAATGGCCCCCAAAGACTCATGGAGTTGAATGCTTGGTTACTAAGGAGTGTCACTATTTGAGAGGGATTAGAAGATATGGCCTTGTTAGAGGAAGTGTGTCTCTAGGGAGTGGGCTTGGAAGTTTCGGAAGCTCAAGCCAGGCCTAATAGTTGTCTCTTCCTGCTGCCTGCGAATCCAGATGTAGGACTCTCAGCTCCCTCTCCAGCACAATGTCTGCTTGCATGCCACCATGCTTCTCACCATGATGATGATGGACTAAATCACTGAACAAAAGCTACCACCAAGTTTTCCTTTATAAGAGTTGCTGTGGTCATAGTGTCTCTTCAAAGCAATAGAAACCCTAAGGCAGTAACCTACCTTACCCAATGACACAAAGTGACTTTCCCTTGCCAGTGAACTCACTACTGTACCTGGGTGGCACTGGAATCCATTTTCTGGTATCCAGGGATCTTCTCCTTGCTCTATCTTGAAAATCACATCTGGCTTAGTAACACAATACCCTGTTAAGACAAAATAACACAGTATGTGTGCTCAACAGCTTAGCTTTATGAATTGAAAAAAAAATGAAGGAAAAGAAAGGTACAGCTTGAGCTATGGTTCAGAAGGTCCTCAGCATTCTACAGAGAGGTGAGAATACACCATTGTCAGAGCAAAAATGGATTAGATATTTCAGACCCTTAAGCTTTAAGACTCTTAAGCCTCAAAGTGGAAATTACAAACATTTCCTCCCAACCTTTGGAAATGTGTGTGACTGGTAGCCACTGGAAAAACCCTTACCTACTGAGACAAAGTTGCTATAGTTCTCCAGGATCACATCTCTGTAAAGCACTTTCTGAGCAGGGTCCAGCAAATACCACTCTTCCTTGGTGAAATCCACACACACATCCTTGAATGACACTTGCTCCTGTAACAAAATATTTTTCTGAATGAAGTCATTAGGACTGGTCAATACAGAGAAGATTTAACAGAATGAGTTTCTTTAGAGTTCGTTGAAAAATAATAAGCAGGATACCAAGCCCCTTTGCTACATTATGTAGCATAAAAGAAAAATATCTTGTACAAATTGAGATTCAGCTAAAGGTCTAGGAGTGTTTTAGTTGCTATGAACACTGCTGAGACAAGCACAAACATAGTTCCTATTTTCAAAATGCCTATGTGATCTGGTAAGGATATATACCTAGGAGTACATTTCACTTTTTATTAGGAAGCAAAATTTGAAATTGTTAAATAAATAATGTCATGGGTAAACAATGGATAGGCTCCCACTAGAAAAAGTCCATGACTGATAAAGTGCTTGCCCTGCAGTCTAACACCCACAGCACAGGATCAAGCCTCTCTGCTTGAGGAGATCATTTTCTAGAGGCTCATGGATTTTTTTTTAAGCACAGCAGTTTTATTAAACACAGAAAATAGTTTCATGGTATGTGAACCAATAGTAAACAAGAAGTAAAATAAGCAACATAAGCAGACCCATGGTGACTCGGTTATTGAAATGATTAAATACAAACTTTAAAATAAAGTGTGGCTAATATGGTCAATAAAACATGAAATGCAGAAAAAATAATGAAAAGGCTGGAGAATTCAGCAGATAAATGAAGAGTATGAAATGTTTGTGTTGCAGGAAAGGGTTATGATAGCAGGCCAAAGAGCATCAACTTCTGAACAGTTTTCTATTCTCTTTCTGGTTTTCTTCCCATTCATTCTCACAAATGAGTACATGTAGGTACACAAAGCACTATTATTACCCCTATATTCTCTAAAGCTGGTACTCAGAGGTGGTGATTGCTCTATTTTCAGGGTATTCACCCCTGAATGGTGACTGAACTGCGAACAATCCCTAAGGCAGGACTAGGGACAGATACTGCAGGCCGCAACATCTCTTGAATGATGAAGTCTTCTGCTGTATAGTTGCATGAGGTCCCATTTATCAGGTTTTGTTTGACTATGCTATCAGGGCACTATTCAGAAAGTCGGCACCTGTGCCTGCTAGCTGAAAAGTGTTTACCTTTTTCCTCTAACAGATTCTGGGCATCAAGTCTTATGTTGAGGTCCTGTATCCGTTTTTTATTTTGGAGTTTTATTAGAAGCAAGAGGGGAGGATGTTGCTTCTCTCTTAGACAAGCAGTTCTTCAGTTAGACCAGTGCTTGTTGAAGATGCTGCCTTCTCCAATGTATATTTTGGGTCTCTTTTTCTTTTTTATATATATATTTTTTATTTTATTTTCCAGTTTAAATTTAGATAAGAAACAAGGTTGCTTCACAAGTCAGTTCCAGGTCCCTCTCCCTTTCCCTCCCCTCCTCCCGTGCCCTCCCCCCACCCCCCCGTTATCCCCTCATTCCCCCAGGGAGGGTGAGGCTCTCCATGGGGGTGTCCATAGTCTGTCATTTCATATAGGGCAGGGCCTAGACCCTTCCCCAAGAGTTCAGGGTGAGAGTGCACCTCACATTGTTCTATGGGAGTCCAAAGTCCGTGTGTATACTTGGGATGGGTACTGATCTGCTGCCCAAGGCTCAATAGATTACCTAGGCCTCCTCACTGACACCCAGATTCAGGGGATCTTGATCAGTCCCATTTTGGGTCTCTTTTTCAAAATTCACATGGCTCCGAGTTTATGGGGTTTTACCTGGGTCCTCAATTCCATTCCATTGATAAATATGTCAATTTTAAAGACACTGTTATGTGACCTTTATTACTACAGCTCTATATTATAACTTTAACCCACAGATGGTGGTTCCTCCAGTGGTGTATTTTATTGTCTGGGGGGGGGCGGTGTGGGCTGTCCTGATCTGTTTTTCCGTATGAATTTTGAAAGTATTTTTTTCAATTTCTGTGAAGAATTGTGTTGACACTTTTAATGGGGACTGCACTGAATCTGTAAATTGCTTTAAGTCAGACGACCAGTTTCACAATATTAACACTATGAGTACATGAAGATGCAAGGTTTTCCCACCTTCCTGCATCTTCACTAATTTCTTTCTTCAGTATCTTAACGTTTTCATTGTACAGATCTTTCAATTCCTTAGTTGGATTTATCCTTTTAAAAAGTTTTTTGATGTTACTGTGAATGGGATCGTTCCTCCATGCGATCATCGTTGTCATATAAGAAGGCTATGACTCTTTGTGTGCTATGTTGTACCCTGCTACTTGGCTGTTAAATTAGCTTGAGGGGACTTCTGATGGAGTTTTAGGGTCTTTTATGTATAGAATTGTATCATCTGCAAATATTGGTACTTTTGAGTTTGTCTTTTCCTACTTGTATTCCTTTTGTCTCCTGTTGTCTTCCTGCTCTAGGCAAGACTTCAAGTACTATGTTAGACAGGAGTGGATAAGTGGACATCTTTGTCTTAAACCTGACATGAGCAGAAATGCTTCAATTTTCTCCCACTTAGCATGGTGATGGCTCTGGTCTTTATGTTAGGGTGTGTCCCTTAGATTCTCCAGGACTTTTCTCATCAAACAATGTTGGATTTTATCAAAGGCTTTTTCTGCACCTAATGAGATGACCATGTGGTTTCTGTCCTTGAAACTATTTATGTAGTAAATTATATTTATTGATTTATATACATTGAGCCATCTCTCTATCACTGAGAAGAAGCCAACTTGATCACGGTAGACAATCTTCTTAAAATGTTCTTGAATTTGGTTTGTAAGTTTGTTATTGAAAACTCTCTTGTGTCTGTGCACACCAGACTGGCCCTATACTTTTCTTTGTTGGGTCTTTGCCTGGTTTTGTTATCACAACAATACTGGCTTCACAAAAAGAATTTGGGCAAAGCATGGTGGTGTACACCTTTAATCCCAGAACTTGGAAGCAGAAGCAGGTGGGTCTCTGTTGAGTTTGAGGTCAGTCTGGTCTACATAGAAAATTTCAGCAAGGCAAGGATGACATAGTGAAAACTTATTTCAAAATAACAATAATTGGAAGTGTTTCGTCCTTTCTTATTATGGAATAATTTGACATTAATTTTCTTCTTTGAAAATCTGTGATAACTCAGCTCTGAACCGATCTGTTTTCAGTGGGAGAGCTTACTTCCACCCCATTGGTTTTTAGGGTCTATTATTATTTACCTCATTTTGATTTAACTTTAGTGGATCATACACATTTAAAAATTCATTCACTTCTTTTAGAATTTCAAGTTTAGTGGAGTATAAGTTTTTAAAGTATATTCTTGATGAATCTCTCAAATTCCTCAGAATGTTTTCATCTCTCCCCTTTCATCTATACTTTACTTTTATATTGAGTCTTTTCTTTTGGAGCGGGAGTTTAATTTGTTTAATTCTTTTTCAAAGAATCAACTCTTTATTTTCTGTTTGTTTGTATTTTTGTTTCTATTTTATTAATTTCAGCCCTGGTTACAATTACCTCTTCCTTTCTAGTGTTTTGGGAAGTTGTTTATTCTTATTTTTTCAAGGTTTGTAGATCCATCATCAAGTTATTTACATCTCTCCAATTTAATGATGACGACACGAAGAGCTATAAACTTTGTTTTTAGGATTACCCCCACTGTGTTCCATAGATTTTAGTGTGTTGTTTTCATTTTCATTGAATTTTCAGATTTTAATTTTTCCATATTTCTTCCTTGACAATATTATCATAAAATAGTATGTTGTTTAATCTCTGTGAGTTTGTATGTTTCCCTTTCTTTCTGTCCTAGTTAATGCTACTATTGTTATGATGAAACAACATGACCAACCAAAACACCATAGTCTACAATGGAATGAAGTCATTAAAGTCAAACAGGGCTGAAACCTGGAGGCAAGAGTTGACATAGAGGCAGTGAAGGGGTGTTGCTTCCCCATGGCTTCCTCAGCCTGTTTTCTTATAGAACCCAGGACCACCAGCTAAGGGATGGGACTACCCACAATGGGCTGGACCCTCCCCCTTTTAATCATTAATTAAGAAAATTGCCTCCAGTCAGATCTTGTGGAAGCATTTTCTCAACTGAGGTTCCTTCCTGACAGATGATGATAGCTTGTGTCAAGTTGACATAAAACTAACTAGTCAGCATTTTCTATCTTTGTTGCTATATAGTCCATTCCATTGTGGTCAGATAGAATTCAGATGCCTTTTTTGATTTTCTTATATCTGCTAATCCTGCTCTGTGTTTTAATGTGTGGTTGACTTTGAAGAGAATTATATGTGCTGTTTTGGTGGAATGTTCTTTAGAACCCTGAGAGATCTATTTGATATGTTATTTAACTCTAATGTTTGTTTAGTTTTTGTCCAGCTCACTCATCCATTGATGAGAGTGGAGTATTAAAGTCACTCATTATTACTGTATTGGGGTAAATCTGTGGTATTAAATCTGATAGTATTCTTTTTATAAATTGGTCCGCTTGTGTTCGGTATATATTTGTTAAGAATTATAAAGTCTTCTTAGTGGGTTGTTCCTCTAATGAGTATGAAGCCTCATTAACTCTTCTAACTAGCTTTGGTTTGAAGTCTATTTTGTTGGGTATTGGAACACTGGTGCTAACTGTTTCTTGGCTCTGTTTACTAGAAACAGCTTTGTCATCCTTTCACTCTAAGGTAGAGTCTATTGTTGATGGTGAGATGTGTTTCTTCAAAGTGTCAAAAAGATGAATACTGTTTTCTAATCCAAACTACAAGCCTGTGTCTCTTTATTGTAGAATTAGGACCATTAAGAGTTATTATTAACCTCTTTGCTCAGATTATCACTACTCCCTCTCTACAACTGGACTCCAGGAGTTTGGCCCAGTGCTTAGGTGTGGATCTTTCTATCTGCTTCAATTAGCTACTGCATGAAGGTTCTATGATGGCATTTAATGTAGTCATCAATCTCATAATGGGGGAAGGACACTTATAGTACCCTTTCCACTTTTGCTTAGATTCTTTGTTGGGAGTCATTTTTATGGATTCCTGGAAATTTCCCTAGTGCTATGTTAAGTGAGTCCATCTGACTGGCTATCATTCATAGAATAAAGAGCGACAAATGGTAGGCAGAGTGCCCTTACACACTGCTGGCAGCAAAGTCACTTAGACCAGCCTTGATGGGCATCAGTAAGGGAGCTCCTCAAGAGGCTAAGTCAAGAGACTGGAGAAGCGGCTCCACGGATAAAATGCTGACAAGCATGAGGACCTGAGTTCAAATCCCATGAAACCATGTAAAGGCCAGGCATGGTAGTATATGTCTGTAACTCCTTCAGTGAGACAGGAGGCAGAGACAGAATTCCTGAAAGCTCAAGGGCCAGCTGGAACAAAAGGGACTCTATTTCAAACAAGGTGGAGGATGAAGGCTGGTACCCAAGGTTGTCCTCTGACCTCCACACTCCCACTGTTAACTCATGAGCACCTGTACACATACATACACATACATCACACACACACACAACACACACACACACACACACACACACACACACACACACGGGAAATATTTGTTTAAAATACAACTAAAAATAGATCTAATACTGACCCAGCTATACTATTTCTGAGTACATACGCAAAGTGCTCTATGTTGGTTAGGATTTTTTTCAACTTGGCACAGCTAGGGTCATCTAGATATAGGAAATCTCAATTGAGAAAATACTCCCATCAGACTGGCCTATAGGCAAGCCTTGGGGGGAAGTCTTCTTGATTAGTGATTGATGAAGGAGGGCACAGTCCACTGTGGTCCATGTCACCCCTTGGCAGGTGGTCTTGGGGTGTATACAAAGGCGGCTGAGTAAGCCATGGAGAATAAGACAGTAACCAGTCTTCCTCCCTAGTCTCTGCTTTGGTTCCTGCTTCCAGGTTACTGTGCTGCTTTGAGTTCCTACTTTGACCAACTTCATTGATCGAATATGATTGGGACAAACAAACAAACAAACAAACAGGCTCCTCCACAAATGGCCTTTTGTCATGGTTTTATCACAAACAGAGAGGAAACTAATACAGGCTTTAAGTCGAGAGACCACAGAAATATTTCCACATTTATATGTACTGTAGTATTATCAAAGGAGCCAAGTTATAGATTACAGTCTAGGTGTCCATCAACAGATGAATACATGAAGAAAATTACATACGCACAGTGAAACTTTATTCAACCTTAAAAGAGGATGAAATTATGTTGTTTGCTGAAAAATGGGTGCAACATCAGATCACTATAATAAACCAGACTCAGAAGAAAAATACCAGTTTTCTCTCACTAATGGATCTTAGATTTTCTTTAGATGATGTCTTTTGTTCATTTGGTAGGAACTTTTATTGGCTGTACTCAGCTTAACATACACAGACTACTGGATAATGCCACACTTATATATGTGACATGATATGACATAAAAGCAGAAGGGAGACTAGGGAATGGAAGGAGATCAGAAGAGGCCAGGAGGATAGAGAGGAAGAAATGGTGAACATACTCAAAGTACACCATCAATGCAAAAGAAATGACCTACATGAAATCCAACATAATATACAATAACGCCACAGCAGCAAGCATGTTAAACAACAAAACAGGACACGTGAAAAGTCTGGCAATGTTGAAATGACACTCTAGAGAATCCTAATATACCACTCTTGGGCATATACCCAAATGATACTTCATCCTACCTCAAGAACACTTGCTCAACCATGTTCACTGCTGCTCTATTCATAATAGCCAGAAACTGGAAACAACCTAAATGTCCCTCAACAGAAGAATGGAAAAAGAAAATGTACAGTTACACAAGAGTATTACTCAGCTGCTAAAAAAACAAACAAACAAAACCATGAAATTTGCAGGAAAATGGATGGAACTAGAAAAAAATCGTCCTGAGAGAGATACTGTGAAGTGAAAATGAATGGTAAACACAGTGTATAGGCTTGCCATGCAAAATGTGGTCCCTGAATGGCAGAACAGGCTTTGCTGTGAGCTCACTAGAAATTCAGAATTCGGAGGGCGCAGCTCAGTGGTGAAGCATCTGACTGTAGAAGTTCACAATCCAGCTGGGTTTGTGGTCTACATCATCCCAGCATTAGGATAACAGAGGCAGGACATGAGTTAATGGCCTATCTGGACTACACAGTAAGACCCTGCCTTAAAAACTCAGGGGGGGCTGCTGAAAAAAGAGCAGGGGGACGGTCAAGGATGAAAGCAATGTCTGGAGCAAAAAGAAAAGATGCCTTCATAAGGGTTGGTGGGAAACCAGTCAGGAATGAGAGCATGGTGTCCCAAACAACAGAGAGCACTTTCAAAATAGTCTCTGTGCATGCATGCATGTGTGTTTTAGCTTGTCTTTTTTGATTTTTGTTTTTCAGCACTTTTCTTAAATCTGGAGGGCAGGAGAGAAAGAACATGAAGTTGGATGGGGAGAATCTAGAAGGAGCTGAGGAAGGGGAAAGAATAGAATAGAAACACATTGTGTGAAAGACATCTTTAAATAAAAAAATTTAAACAGGCCATTGACAAAACTACCAAATGCATCCCAGCACTTGGGAGGCAGAGGCAGGCGGATCTCTGTGAGTTCGAGGCCGGGCTGGACCGACAGCCTCCAAAACAATACAGAGAAACCCTGTCTGTAAAAACCAAAAAAATAAAAATAAATAAAAAACTACCAAATGCTGCTGGCAGCCAAGAAAGTCAAAGACAAGACTCTTCCCTGGCTGGCCTTGCAGATGACTTGGTGGCCCTTTGTAGGATTGACCCAGGTGAGTGGTGGTAAGGGGACAAGGCCTTGTTTTTCAAGTTGAATGTAAACAAGAGATGTATAAACATAAGCTGACTGCATGCACATTTACCTAGAAGCTCAAATGAGCTGGACAGACATCCAGGAGAGCTGCACTGAGCATACACGGGATGGCGATCCTTCGGCCTCCATTAGCATTTGTTCCTGGACAAAACAGGAGTCCCAGAGCAGTCTACTCCAGCCTCAGTTTTGGGACCGAGCCCCGACACACACACTTAACAGGAGATGGCTACAGGAAACGTTACACTGACCTCCATCTAATTCCACCAACTATCCGAATTCAAATTTTTACTGTGGCTGTAAAATTTTGCCTATTTTTACTTTTTCTTTAAAAAAAATAAATTCTCAAAACAAAATGGGAATGAAAAAAAGCAAAAACTCACCTGGGACTTGTTCATTTTCTGCTGAGTGGAGGAGGGAAGAGCTGAGGGAAAAGGAAAAACAGCATCAGGAGAGATCGCAGGCCTGGATTCACCTGCAGGTCCACGCAGGTGTCCACTTCGAGTGTGCCCCTAACATATGTCGAGTTTAGATACTTCTCACTTACATTTGGATACTAGCACTTGTTTCTTAGTATCACCTAACTTACAGAAAAATTAAAAAGATGAGAAGATCTTTTTAATTCACCAAATAAAAATCTAAAGGGAGAAATGGCATGGATTTGTTCAGGCTGATAATCAAAGGAGAAGGGAAGAAATCGGGACGTATTGTTTATCTGACACCATTATTCCCTTGAAGTCAGATAATTCGAGAAAACGGATGCGGGTTTCTGAAGCAAGATAAAATTTTCAAAATGTGTCCCAAGTTGCTTGCTTACACGCTTGACATCTCTTGATAAGAAACTTTAGCCAAAAAGTGACAAATGTACAACCATCTGATGGTTGTGTCTCTAAAAACTTGCAAGATTTCTTAGGTTCTCAAGCTTAATGTAAAAACAAAACAAACAAAAAAGCTGAAACTGATTAACCCAAGGAGCCACCTACACTGACCAGTGGACATTTATGGCCAAAAAAGCAGGGCCCACAGCATCTCCCTTTGTGACTGCCCCCTCATAGACATCAAAGTAGGAGGGGTGCGCGGGATGTTTAGGGAAGAGGGTGACAGCAATTCTGGACCTGTAGCTGGTGAATCTTTCACCCCTAATCAGATCCCAGAGAAGTGGCATTCCCTGTGCAGCTTATGTGCACCCATCTCGCTCAACTCCAGCTCACCTCTCTCTCCTTAAACTTGTCCCAGACTTTCGGCGGGCACACAGTCTTCCATGGTTTCAGGATATTGTGTCATTGCACACACCAAATGAGCGAGTATCAAATTCAGAACGGGGATCCCGAGTGTGTGAGGGGCAGACGGCTTGGTGGCTATCTAGGCCGGCTCTTTCCTCTTCCACTCCAAATACTGCGCCCTAGGAACCAGTCCAAAAGCCCGCAAAAAGGGTGGGCTCTCTGCGACCCTCGTAGGATATTCCCTGTACAAGAAGTAGTAGCAGCTTAAAAAAAAAAAAGGCACCAAGTATTCGTAATAGTCACATTGTGCAGAAAGGAAACCAAGTCTCGAGTGAGTTATTCTGTGCCAGTAATTCATTCACTCAGGACCAGGACTCGCCCCCCGACATTCCAGCATCTGGCCTCAGGAGCCAGAGAACGCACACGTCACAGCGTCACTCTAATGCCACGCATGCGTAACTCCTCAAGGTCCCTCCCTAAAACCCGCACCGTCCCCTCCCAGTGCACAAAAAGGCGCACGCGCAACACGAACTAGCGGCCCTAGGTTTGCTTTGCAGAGGTGCAGGACCATCTGCATCTCGGCAGCAGAGCGCCGGCTTCCGAATGCACCCAGTACTTCCCCAGACGGGCTCCCCGCGGGCCCCTGTTCGCTGCCGACCGCGGTCCGGATAGCCCCGAGCTCCCAGAACCCTCCGCCCTTGCCACCATCTAGGGCTCACCCGCCGCTCCCGCAATGCACGGAGCCGAAGGCCGGGAATTGTTTCCCAGGAGGGACGCCAGGCCAGGGAAGAAGCAGGAATGCAGCAATACAACGTGCGCATGCGCAGGGGAAGGGGCGGTGCGCCCTTCTGTGCTGGGAGTGGGGTCCCTAAGTCCAGTGTTGGAAGGAGTATTGACTGGAGAAGGGTCGGCTCTTGTCTCATCCTCTATTGTAAAATAATGCTATTGACAGTGTCTAGGAACCAGGGTTTCCAGAATTAAAGGCGTTTACAGTGAAAACACAACCTTGCCAGACTCATTTCTCAGGACGGGACTTTCTGGTACACCATGCCAATTTCTGTATCTTTATTATTTCCGTCCAGAGCCAACATTCTGTCAGAGCCCTAGGGGTTGGGATTAAATCAGTATATTCTTTACACTCCAAAAGAAGGAAAGTTGTGCTTAAAGTTATAGCGGGATGTCAACTAGTGTTGGAATTGACTTGTTCATGTAGAGATTTCATGAGTGTATCTTCCCTGTAATAACTAGACGGCACAGTCTCACTTCAGACTTCAGGTCCTCTGGCCCTAAAAATCTCTGCCAGGTCTTCTGCAATGTTGCCTGAACCTTAGGCAAAGGGGTCATGTTGCATCAGTTGGGGCTGGGAACGCCACCTTCTGTTGCTCTCTGTATTTTGATAAGTTGTAGCCTTCGATAATGGACTCCCGCTGCTGTAGAAGGAACCCTTTTGATAAGGGGTGAGATCTACACTTATCTGTTCCTTGTTTTCAAAAAATTACTGGCATGTTTGATACTGTAGAGATTTTGTTTTATATGTGAATATGTGTTGGTATAAGACAACATGTTTTTCCTTTAGCATACCTCCAGCTTGAGCAGTGGTTAGTAAATCTAGGGTTCAATGGTTCTAGACTGTAACCATTGCATGCCAATTTTATGTTCCTATATTATCAAAAGCCTGTGAGTTTGTGTAGCTAGTTATGAGTTCTATGGATAGTTTCTGGGTAATGAAAATAGAATTCATAAGACCCTTCCCTAACTCTTATACCTTTGGTGACAGTAAGGCCTGGAACCTACAGTTTACTTTGGACCACGGAGATATATTAAGGTAGGAGTATGCACTTCTCATTAAGTGTCACTTTTGGAAGAGTATATGCAGGCTATGTAATTCTAATCAGTTGAGTGAGAGGCAAAGCTAAGCTTGCCAAGGTTATCTAAGCAAAGTATGTGTGGTCATTAGGACAGGAGTGGTCAGTAAAGAGTGAACTTTGGAATCGTTCCAATGGTGCACACACAAAATAGAGGCCATGGACACACGAGTTAGTGGGACAAGGCACCCTGTACAAAAGGAAAGTATGGGCAAGGATGTGGGTGAAAGAGGAGGTTCTGGGGAGGACTTTGGGGCTGAGGAAGAGGGACCAGGTAGAGGAGAAGCTGAGGGAGACAAAGAAGGTAGTGGTGGCAAGACTGGATGGTCAGGAGTATGAGGGAGGAAAGTCGGAGTTAAGAGATATGGCTCAGAGGGGTGCTTTGAGACCAAGGATGAGTGATGAGGTGGGCTAAGAGAAGAGGAGGCATGATGCAGAGAGAGAAAGGAAGTCTCAGATGAAGTTTGATAGGGAAGGGGCTCACCTGCCAAATCAGAGTCTGAGACAGTCCTGGAGATTAGGGTTAAGAGTTCAAGCTGGTGGGACCTGGTGTGCAGAAATGGAAGAAAGAGAAGGAACAGGAGTGGAGATAAAATAAGGCTTGGGGTCAGGGAATTTCTAACCACTTTCCTTTTCATTGGAGGACGTTGTTGAGGTCCCACAAGATGGCAGGGTTCAATTGCCACATTCAGGCCAACAGTGTTGATTGTTGAGGGCAAATTGGAGCCAGATCTGAATAGAAAGTCAGATGAGGCAGGGGACTTTAAGATTCCATTGAGACCTAATTGATTGTTTTTGTTGTTTGTTTGCTTTTTAACCCTGTCTCACTGTGTAGATCTGGCTGTCCTGGACTTTGCTATAGAGACACCATACCCGACTTGTTTGAATTTTTTAAATTAGATCTATTTTATGTTTTGCCTGAATGAACGTGCATCATGTGTGTGCCTGGTGCCTGTGGAGGTCACAAGAGGACATCAGTTCTCCTGCAACTGGAGTTACAGATAGCTATGATCCACCGTTTGGGTCCAGGGAACTGGACTTGGGCCATCTGAAAGAGCAGCATGCGCTCTTAAACACTGAGCCATCTTTCCAGCCCCTTGTTTGAAAGTTTTTAGGAGGCAAGCTGTCTTAATTAGTTTTCTATTACTGTGACAAAACACCATGACCAGGGCTTTTTTTATTTCCTTGTAGAAAAATGGGTTTAATTGTGTGTACAGTTTCAGAGTGTTAGAGTCCACAATGGTAGAGCAAAGGCATGGATGGCAGCAGGAACAGCTGACCCACAAGTAGGAGGCAGAGAGACACAATGGGAATGGTGCCAGCCTTCCGAAACCCCAAAGCCCACCCCCAGTGACACATCTCCTCCAGCAAGATCTTGCCAAATGTTGAATCTTGTAGATAAAATCTATCCCCAGGTCTTATTTTTATTAATTGCCTGAAAATTTGATACATATATACAACACACCTTTATTATCCCTCCACTCGCTTCCTCCAACTCTCTCTGCCTCTGTCTAACACATCTCCCTCTCAACGTTTTAATTATTTCAGACAATAATCTGCTGAACCTAGTTAGTGCTGCCCATGTGCAGATGGTGTGGCGACCTACCAGTGGCTGTCCCCCAAAATAAAAGTAACTCCCCCTCCCCAATTTACTTTAAAAATCTGGACATTTGGATGGTTTATTTTTGCTATAAAATTTCAAGATCTAGATATAGGCAGGGGTGATAATCTAACTTGGACAATATTGCTTTTCATTCATGAGGTTAAACTTGGGCAAGCTCTTCTTATAATTCAACAGTTGGCTTAAATGCTAATAAACTCCTGAGTGCCACAGATACCATCCCTGTGAAGCCAGAGACTAGCCATGGCATAAATGGGGACAGATTCCTGAGGGCCACAGATATCCCAGACCATCCCTGTGATGCCAGAGACTAGTCATCCAAAAAAATGTGATCACAACTTACTTCATGGTTCAGTTCCACATATTCAAAACTTAATAGTTTAAATAGCATAAACGAGCTATTTCTTCCATGGGCCCTGGTACTGGACAGACTCTGTCAGTTGGCTGACTTCATCCAGTCAGTAGTTGACCAAGTTGACTGGGCTAAGAAATCTCACATACACGAATACACACACACACACACAAATAATAATAATAATTAATTACAATAAATGATGTAGATGGCATGTTACTATGAGACAGTTAGAAAATTATAAATGATAAAAGAAAAACTAGTCATTGACTTGGAAGAAAATAAATGAACAGCATGGGAAAAGATCAATTGAAAATTCAATTCAATTTAATTGAGGCAAAGTTTATTTCATATATATGTTACATTCCACCAGGAAATTTATCTTAATGCAACAATTCAGTAAGTTAAAAAAAAAACACATTTCTTTGGGAAAAATACTTCTAAGCCTAGGCTTTTTCCACATATAAATACAATGAACAAAATAAATACGCTGCACAGAAATCACTCACCCATATACTTCTGCATTGTGTGTGACAAACGGAACATTTATAGGAGTGGGCTCAGGACCGGCTGCAGTGTGTGCAGCTCTGAGTAACAGAAACTGACGCGGTAAAGTGCTGAGTCGTCCATATCTGAGGCTCTATTAGCCGTGTGGGTTTCCTCTATCAGCTTTGCCAGCCCAGTGTGAGGGCAGCCACAGGCAGAGTGTAAGCAATGGGTTTTTATTAGCGTTCTCAAAGTGCTTCATTTATAAACACTGGAATTTTGTTTCCTACAACCTTTGTGTGTCACAAAATATTTAATTCTTGCAATAACTGAGTAATATAAAACTAATCCCAACTTATAGGCTACAAAAATGGGCTGTAGAGGGAGAGGAGGAGAGAGTAGTTCATGGGGGAACAGGAAGGTTGAGTGGGGGGGTAGACTAGGGTGAGAACAGGATGAGAAATACCATAATAGAGGGAGTTTGAAGAGAGATCTGGCACCAGTGAGACCTCTAGTGATCTAAAAGGATGACACCAACTTGCAAGCTAAGCAATAGTGGAGAGACTACCTTAAATGCTCCTTCCTGATAAGGAACTTGACGTCTACACTATATGCCATCCTAGAACCTTAATCCAGTGACTGATGGAAGCAGAGGCAAACACCCACATTTAAACACTGAACTGAACCCATGGAGCCCAGTGACAGACCGAGAGGAGTGATGAGCAAATGGGCAAAGAATGGGCTGGTGAAACCAGCAGAGACAGCTGATCTGAACAAGGGGGAGCTCTTGGACCCCAGACTGACAGCTGGGAGGCCAGCATGGGACTGATCCAGACCCCCTGAGTGTGAGAGTCAGTGAGGAGGCCTGGGAAACCTATGGGGCCCTGGGCAGTAGATCAGTATTTATCCCTGGCATATAAACCGACTTCGTGCGTCCATAACACAAAGAGGGATGCTCTCTGAGCCTGGATGCTTAGCGGAGTGCATGGACCCTGCCCTGAGCGAAATGACAGACTCTAGATATCCCCTATGTGGAAGGAAGTGGGGATAGGGTGGAAGGCTGGGGGGAGATGGTGGGGAGTGAGGGAGGAGGGGAGGGAGTGGAATGGGGATTGACATGTAAAACAAGCTATTTAAAATTAAAGTAACAAAAAAGGGGGGCTGTAGATCCGGCAGATGGACCGTGGTTCACCAATCCCTGGCCTTGCCTACTTAGGAGCTGCTCCTGAGCCACTGTGGGTAGATACACAACCAAATCAAATCAAGGCACTAACAGCAATAAGGTGGGAGACACGTGGTGGGTCACCAACCTTTTCACTGTATGATTTAGGAAATACAAATCAATGAGAATAATACCTAATGTCAAGTTTTTATGTATTACAGACACTGTTCTAAGTGTTTTAAAATATCAATCTATGGCAACCTCAAGGCAATTTTAGGATGCCCCTATCATTGCTCTCACAGGAAGGGAAACTGAGGCACAGTGAAGTTTCATGACACGCCCATGCTGGGGTCTGGGTCAAGATAGTAAAATAAGAGCCTAGAATCTCACTTTTAGCCACTGGCCATGTTGCCTCCCGCTACCCAGAAAAGGAAGGGAAAATCATGAGGTATTTTTCATACAAAATACAAACAGATACCACTGCTACACAACATCCACAGTAAGATAAGTAAGTACTGCTGCTTTAGAAGGAGTTTAGACTGCTACAAATCCATCTCCAACCCAAAATTCAGCTGATGATGATATTGCTGATAAAATTACAAAAACATTTAGGTTTCTTTTGAAGGGTCCATTTAGTAACAATGTCTGAACCCATTTGTAAGTGCCAGGAAGTAGATGAAAAGATACTCTATGCTTTTAAAGTATACAGCAACATATGTTACAGTAACAACACTATCAGTGGAAATCACTGTTGAAGTGACAGGCGGGCACAAGTGTTCTCACACATTACAGCTATTGAACTCAGACACAATGACAGATGGCTTCCACGTGCAAGTCACACACTTACAAATTTGTTTTGTAGATACCCACAGACACACCTACATCCTACATATCAAAAACACTTCTTTTTTAATGGTGTTTCCTGATTATTTTTGTTCTTTAAATAGTTTGATATGTGTGATATTTGTTGGTTTCTGGTTTTGTTCCTTGCTTCTTTAGGAAGGAAAATCAATCTTGGAACTAGCAACATGACTTACAATGTGACTGCTGCCTTCAAAATAAATTCCTTTAATTTTTTAAAAAAATATTTCAAATATTGAAAATGCCTACATAGGTATGATTAAAGTATTAATATAATTAACATTCAGTGATGGACGTTTTCTTAATAAGGCTTCCATATCCGTTGCAATATGTACACTAATTCCCCTCAATCTTTTTAAGACAAGTGCAAGTGTATGAAGAGGCTTTTGAGTGCTTGGATACCCCTGGGAGGTCCTCACTGTGGACTTTGGATGGTGGTGCTAAATGCTATGACAGAACCTTCTGGACATTCACTTACAGGATTTCTGCCCCATGTTATCTTTCATGTTTTACAGTTTTCACAGTTTATGCCACCTGATATTTACAAAAGCTGACCATATTGTAAAGTTCTTCCTAATAGCATCACAAAATTTCCTTCTGTACATGTGCTGATAATTCTATAAGGGAAAAACATGGCCAACAACGTTTTTCTCGACACTCAGAAGGGTCTCCTTCTGTGTGGATTGCATCAGAAGAATGAACTATGTCAAGGGACCCTGAACTCGTGCTATTTGTTACTTCTCCCCTTCTTGGCGTGTGTCTTCTGATGCGCATTGAGTTGTGACCTCTGAATAAAGTTGTCCCCACACTCCTGGCACTCATAGGGCTTCTCCCCCGTATGCTTTCTCTGATGTATGACAAAATGTGACTTCTGGGAAAAGGATTTCCTACATATGTCACACTCATAGGGCTTTTCTCCCGTGTGAGTCCTTTCATGTAATCTGAGGACCGAGTTCACAGAGAAAGACTTGCCACACTCTGTACATTCATAGGGCTTCTCCCCAGTATGTTTTCTCTCATGTTTGGTGAGGTCTGATTTATAGTAAAAGGTTTTCCCACACTTACTACATTTGAAGGGTTTCTCCCCAGTATGGGTTCTCTGGTGGACAGTGAGGGCTGACTTCTGGTAGAAGCAATTTCCACATTCCTTACATTTGTAGGGTTTCTCTCCCGTGTGGGTTCTCTGGTGGGTTTTAAGGTGCGAATTCCTAGAGAAGAGTTTCCCACATTCCTTACATTTATAGGGTTTCTCCCCTGTGTGTGTTCTCTGGTGGACCGTGAGGTGTGACTTTTGAGAAAAGAATTTCCCACATTCCTTACACTCAAAAGGTTTCTCCCCTGTGTGTGTCTTTTGATGCACCAGGAGGTATGCCTTCACATAGAAGAATTTCCCACACTCTTTACACTCAAAAGGTTTCTCCCCTGTGTGTGTTTTCTGATGTTCCGTGAGGTGTGGCTTCTGATAGAATGATTTATCACACTGGCTACATTCGTAGGGTTTTTCCCCTGCATGGATTCTCAGATGCCTAGTGAGGGATGACAGGTGGTAGAAAATTTTGTTACACTCTTTACATGGGTAGGTTTTTTCTCTGGTGTGAACTTTCTGATGTATTGTAAGCTCTTCGTTTGTATAGAAAGATTGCCCACATTTCTCACACCTGTGGGACTTCTTGGTATGTGTTTCCTGGTGCACGGTGAGGGAAGACTTCTGACAGAAGGATTTTCCACATTCACTACAGTCATAGCTTTCATACTGGGTGGGAGTTTTGCGACGTTTGCCGAGTTCTCCTTTCCTAGAGAGAAAGTTCCCAACTCATTAATAGGACTCTCAGGGGCTTCTCCACTGTGAACATTGATCTACAGGGTGATGTGACACGGTACAGAATGGGACTTCTCCTGACGTCTCAGGGTTTCTTAATGCCCATTCTGTACTTTCTGGAATAAAGTCTTCCTGACTGCATAGTTCAGAAAAAAGGAAATGATAACTACAAAGTTTGACTGCCTTGGTCCTAAATCATGCCCCCCAGGAAGGCATGCCTGTTTGGGTCACATTCTTTGGGATTCATTTCAGTGCCATATTTCATATTAATCAACAATTTATTTCCCACTTCCAGCATTTCAAACAAAACTATTCTTCCTCACAAAGCTTCTATCCTACACATTAATTCTTGAACTTGCCTTGCATTTCCAGCCTGACGTTCCCGGTGTTTGGTCTTGGGGTCGGAAACATTCTGTTGTTTGTCTACAAAGGAATCAAGATTTTAACAGACCATTATAGTCACAGGTTGATTCTTTGTCTTTAGGTAAGTCTGTCAAGATGAAAGCACTGTCAAATGAAATGTTCCTCTATACCATTTGTGACAGTTTTCATTGTTACCCTAGAGAGTGTCAAGGGGAATCATCTAGATCTGTGGCCATGTGTTGATTGTGTTAATTGATGTGGGAAGAAGCAGCCTAAAGGTGGGAGGAATGCTCCCTGGGTCAGGTCTTGAATTGTGTAAGACTAGAGAAATCCAGAAGAGCTACAGGCATGCACGCATTCGCTCTACCCTGACACCAGTAATTCCTAGCCATAGCTGCCCACTGTTATTTCTTATTCAACTTACTGTTCACTGTCCTTAATGATTCCCACATTCCTAATCTGTAACGTAGTTTGTTCTCTGATCCAAGTTCTTTCTTTTTTGTCTCAATTTTCACCTCCAGGATTTTAGAGCTACACTGACAGAGATGTCAGAGGTGTTTGGGTTTATAATCAGGTTCCTTCAGTGCCTGCTAGTGAGTTTCAGACTATTTTTTAGGATTTATGGGATAATGAATGGGCTGGTGAAACCAACAAAAACAGCTGACCTGAACAAGGGGGAGCTCTTGGACCCCAGATGGACAGCTGGTAGACCAGCATGAGACTGATCCAGAACCCCTGAGTGTGCGTGTCAGTGAAGAGGCCTGGACAATCTATGGGGCCCTGGGTAGTAGATCAGTATTTATCCCTGGCATACAAATGGACTTCGTGTGTCCACACCACAGTGAGGGATGCTCTCTCTGCCTGGACTCTTGGGGGAAGGCCTAGGCCCTGCCCTGAGTGAAATGACAGACTCTGGAGATCCCCTATGTGGAAGGGAGTAGGGATGGGGTGAGAGGCTGGGGGAGGCCTGGGGGAGTGCGGGAGGAGGGGAGGGAGAGGGAGTTGGGATTGACATGTGAAGCAAGCTTATTTTTAATTAAAAATGTAATAAATAACAATAAAAATGCAAAATAAAGATTTACTCATTTTGTGTGCATTGGTGTCTCTGTGTGTGTCAGATCCTCTGGAACTGGAGTTACAGACAGCTGTGAGCTGCCGTGTGGGTGCTGGGAGTTGAACTCAGGTTCTCTGGAAGAGCAGCCAGTGCTCTTAACTGATGAGCCATCTCTCCAGCCCCTAGACTTTTGTTTTTGCTATAAGAATGTCCTAATTTCATTTCTGCTTCAGTCATAAAATAACCAGAAGCACTTTAAGGGGGTCAGGGTTTATTCCACTTACAATTCAGGGTTAGAGTCCATCACTGCAGGACAGTCAGGGCAGAACCCTGAAGCAGCTAGTGACATCCACAGTCAAGAGTAAAGAGTAATTGATGAAGGAACCAGTGGATCATATACAAGTCTTTATGCCTACAAACACAGGTCACTGTTTAATAATGTTCCTAGTGGAATCCTAAAACTACAGATACTATACTGTACTACACATCCTATGGCTCCCCCCCCCCCGCCCACCTAATTTCCTATGATATACTTTCTCCCTTATTAGTAAAAAGAAGTACTTAAAGGCTTTAATTTGGCATAGCGAATTTCCAGGATTTCCACTCTTGTGCTTCGCAACTTTTAATAAGAAAATAAGAATCATTTGAGCACAAGCACTATGGCCCTTCCACAACTGATCTGAAAACCGAGATGGCTACCAAGTGACTAATGCAGGCAACACACAATGTGGCTATAGTGGAGAAAAAGACTATTCATGCTAATGACTAACAGCAGGACTACTCAAGAATTCACCATGCTGCTCAGAAGGACATGTGTTTTAAACGTTGTGAATTGTTCATCTCTGGAACTTTCTATTTAATGTCTCTAGACGGCAGTCGACCATGCATAACAGAAACCACAAATGAAACTGCAGGTGGACTAGGATTACTGTAGGTAGTAGACCACACACTTTTACTGTTCTTCTTCAGCTACCCAGGGCAATCTGGACATCAACAATAAAGTGAATTTCTCAGACTATCCATCTCCTCATATATTGAGAAATATCCCTGTTGTTTAGGCATTTATACTTTTCACATAGTTGGCTTAATTTTCACCCGAACAAGAGGACCTAGGAACACATACATTGGAAAGGAAGGAGAAAAGAAAAATCAGGGGACAAACTATCTATATAGGAGGGTAAATTCCTAGTTGTCACATCAAAGATTTCCAGTCCTGATCGTATCCTGACCACCAAATCCTGCGCTTCCAAGGCACTATTACCCATGATTCAGTAAAAGTCATGAGTCATGTTTTAGTATTTTAGCTCCTATAGCTCTCCTTCCAACTTAATACAAGATCCTTAAAAATTATTCCACAGGAAACAAAGGGTCTTTGTGTTTTTTAACTCTAAGAAAAAAGGAGTAAGAAACTATAATATGACACCAAATAGGACAAAAATATCAAAGAGTCAACTCTCAGTGTAAAAGTGCATGCTTGGGTTTTTGAAGGGGGCAACCCTGGGAGGACTTTTATAAAGCAGAGTAGACAGTATCACTTGTTTCTAAACATTTGTTCTTCCAACAAATGTCTAGCAAACAAGGAGTGTGTGTCAATCATTGCCAATCAGCATACACGTCAGAAGGTAGATGGAGATCACTGCTGGAGGGAGTGAGAGTACCTGGGTGTTATACCTCTGCAAATAATGTGCAGAGTTGCATGTTAAGAGCAAACCCAAGCAGAAACACCAGTTCTACTGAAAGAAATATGACGGACACGGAACATCATGATTTAGAATCAGGATTCAGAGCTTAAAGACAGACTAGGAAGTTAAAACTGGTGCTGAGAATAACACATTTTGTTGTTAATAGAGAAAAGGTGAGAGGTAGTCTGTGAAAATATCTTTAAGGTTATGGTTCCATGCTCCAACAGTAGTGGAAAATTGGACATTTGAAAACAAAAGATAAAACTCTGAGCTAAGATGGCATAGGAATTCTATTTTCCACCAAGAAAAGAGATGTAAACCTGTTTTAAGAATGTCTAACAAAAGAGGGATTTCCACTGGGCAGTGGTGGTGCACACCTTTGATCCCAGCACTTGGGAAGCAGAGGTGGGTAGCTCTCTGAGTCTAAGGCTAGCCTGGTCTACAGAATGAGTTCCAGGAGAGCCAGAGATACACAGAGAAACCCTGTCTTGAAAAAAAGAGAGAAAAAAAGTGTAGATTGGGGGGATTTCTATGGAGAGAAGGAAAATTGGTGTGATGTAGGATTCAAACATGTAAACAGTATCTTCAACCACTTCTATAAATCTAGAGGATTTAGGGAAATTCCTGAGAAACTATTTCAAAAGGCATTCTTGACAAGTATTTCGAAGGGTCACATGCAACATGATTTTTTCAAACGCACCATCACGTCTCTGATTTGGAAGTTCTCTTTCTGATACCCATGGCTCTTTTCCTTGCTTCAACTTGGAAATCACACTCCGCTTAACCACACGGTAACCTGTTAAAGACAGAGGGGATGACACAAATTTCTTTGGAAGTGAGGTACTATTTCAGGAAAACAGTGAGGATCCGTACTTCTTTAAATTGAGAGGTAGAAACACACAGTTTTTCAGACATTCCCAAACAGATTGGCTTGGAATCATGAAACAATGTATCACTTGACCTTACAGAGACCTTACATGTTCCAGTGAATGGGAGACGAAATGGAAACAACTGGAGTCATAGATTAAATTATCTCACCCACAGCAAGCAGATGACGGTAGTTCTCCAGCATCACATTCTTGTAAAGAGACTTCTGGGCAGGGGTCAGCAACTCCCATTCTGCCTTGGTGAATTCCACAGTAACATCCCTTAGTGTCACTGGTCCCTGAAACAACAGTTCCAGTCCAGTCTGGTGACTACGGGAAGGCACAAGGGTTGGGAGGCAGAGCGATGACAAAGTACTTGCTTAGCATTTGCAAGGCCCTGAGTTCAACCCCAGGACAAAGGAGAAAAAAAGAGAAGGCTAGTTCATTAAATTAGCTCTGAGTGGCCTCGCTATAGTCATGCTGGCTCCAATAAAGCAACCACACATTGTGTCAAGGACTTTCTCTTTGACAAGAGGCAAAGATTAGATTCTTAATGTCTATATTGCAGCAGATACTAATGGCAGAAGTGTATTCAGGACACAAGGTGTTCAGAGGGTGACAGCTATTTGCATTGTGTAACAGCTGTTAGATTTTATAAGGTGGTCAAGCCATCTAATATAAACTAGAAATGAAGAGTTCAGAGTTGGCAATGATACGGGAGCATGAGGAGCAACAGCTGTAGGAAATGTGAATGACACAGAATGAGAACAGAGTGTAGGGCTGAGTTAACTAACTTAGGAAGTCAGGTAAGAGAACACAAAGAATGTTAGTTGCTTTCCCTTTGTCCCTACAAAACATATTTTGCACATAAATGTAACAGACCGCATGCCATATGTATTTGCATCTGTTGCATGAACTTTTCTGGGGGAGACACTAACAAATGTCTCCTCACTACAGATAGGGCACCAATGACAGACCAAAGTACAATTCTAACGAAGTTCAATGTGAATCAAAGAGTCTACATCATTTTTCAAATTTAAGTTTATTTAAGAGAAAACATGTGAGTAGACATTCCTCAATTTTACACCATGTGGACCGCCTCAGACATGTTGATAATGCTCACCCACTTCGCAGATGCAAATACAGAACATTTGCCACTGATGAGATAGAAGTGTGCAGTGGAGTTATAGGACTGGATTAGCGATCTATAGAGAAAACTAAAACAGACAGGGCACATGACAGAGATATGAGCAATACACACAGTATCACAGACACAGAGAAACCAAGAAGTATAATACAGCTTTTGTGTTCATGTGTTTGTGTGTAGTGGTGCATGTGCACATATGTGTGCAAATGTGGAGGCCAGAGGCTGAAACCGTCTCTTCTTTATTATCCTCCTTGTGGTGGTTTGAAGGAGAATGTCCCCCATAGGCTCTGGCATTCCAATACTTGGTCACCAGTTGGTGGTACTGATTAGGGAGGACTAAGAGGTGTGGCCTTGCTGGAGGAGGTATGTCACTGGGGTTAGGCTTTGCAGGTTCGTGTGCACATGTGTCCATCTTGTTTTTGTTTTACTTTGAGTTTTTGAGACAGGGTTTCTCACTTGGGCCTGGTTTCACTGAATGCGGCTCCCAGTTGGTGGTGCTGTTTGGGGATGTTTAGGTGGTTTAGCTTCCCGGAGGAAGCTCTCCTTCTTGCTTGTGTTTAAGATGGGAACTCTCAGCATCCTGCTTCAACCACCATGCATGCTGCCTGCTTACATGCCTCCCCACCTCTGTAGCCAGAGGCCCAAATAAACCCTTTCTTCCATAGGTTGCTTTTGGTCATGGTGTTATATCACAGCAACAGAAAAGCTACTAATACACCCAGCTTTTTACATGGGTGCTAGAGATCAAATACAAATTCTCGTGCATGCCTGGCAAACCCTTTACCAAGTAAACTATCTTCCTGGCTTTTAGGAATTTATTTTATTCATGATCAAATCACAATAAAAACTGATTTTATTACAATGAGGTATGAGACCATTGCTCAAGTGTTGGTTCAAAAGCCTATTCTTCTGTTAGCAAAGTATGTTATATACTCCTAAACATCTCTGGGGAGGTGGTCCTGGGGTGTATAAGGCGGCAAACTGGGCGAGCAAGGAAGAGCAAGCCAGTAAGCTGTGGTCTCCCTGGCCTCTGCTTCGGTTTTGGCTTCTAGGTTCCTGCTTGAGTTCCTGGGCTAACTTCCCTCAGTGCTGCACTATAGCATGGAAGTGTAAGCCAAACAAACCCTTTCCTCTCCAAGTTTGTTTTGGTAGTGTTTTTATCATAACAGTAGAAAACAAGCTAAGACATTAACTTACAGTGTTTATACATTTGTATGAGAGCAAGGGTGCAGGTATAGACCAGGAAGTTAGGAAAGAGGCTAAGCAAAGGAGAGAACGTGTCTAGAAGAGGGGGGGCTAAGACACACACCTTGAGAGCAGAAGGGAAGCTATGGGGTGTGGTGGAGGGGTGCAAGGTAGGAGGCCATAGGGAACTGGGGAGAACAGGGAGTCATGGGATCAATCTAACAATTATTGCTTGAAAATGACAAGATGAAACCTAATGCTGTATATACTTTTCAAAATTTAAAAACAAGCACACAAGCGTCACTAGAGAAGATCAACATCAGATTTGAGCAGGCTGAATACAGAATCTGTCAGGTTGACAGGGTCCTAGCACAGCCGCACTGGCTCAGCACTCTAGTGCCTGTTACTACAAACTCACAAAGTGACACTATCATCTCAAGAGATCCCAGAACGGGGAGGCAGAGGCAGGCGGATCTCTATGAAGTCCAGGCCAGCCTGGTCTACAGAGTGAGTTCCAGGACAGCAAGGGCTACACAGAGAAACCCTGTCTTGAAAACAAAAACAATGATGAGCAAAGGGGTCAAGACCAGGCTGGAGAAACCCAGAGAAACAGCTGACATGAACAAGAGAGAGCTCATGGACCCCAGACTGACAGCTGGGAAACCAGCATGGGATTGCTACAGACCCTCTGAATGTGGATGTCAGTTTGGAGGTCTGGTTAATCTATGGGGCCTCTGGTGGTGGATCAGTATTTATCCCTAGTACACAAATGGACTTTGGGAGCCCACTCCACATAAAGGGATACTCTCTCAGCCTAGACACATGGGGGAGGGTCTAGGCCCTGCTCTAAATGATATGACAGACTTTGAAGATCGTCTATGGAAGGCCTCACCCTCCCTGGGGAGCAGAAAGGGGATGGGATGTGGTTGGTGGGGGACAGGGGAGGAGGAGAGGGAGAGGGAATGGGATTGACATGTAAAACAAACTTGTTTCTAATTTAAATAAAAATAAGAAAAAAGAAAACAAAAGCAGAACAAACAAGAAAATCTGTTCATAATGGAAAATGTAACCTGTACAAACTAGAAGAAGGTGCCAGGGTTTGGTTTATCAGTGTCCTTCAAAAGTCTGCACATTTAAAGGCTTGTTGTGAAGCTGACAGAATCCTTAGAGGGGCGAGACAGACGTAGTCAGATCACTGGGGTGCCACTGCAGAGCACTGTGGAACCCTGGTCCCTTCGTCATAGTTGTAAGAAGTCCCAGGCCCCCATGACTCCTACCATGCTGTAGTAGTTTGTCACGGGTATTCATGCAAGTGAGCCAACAGTGAAGAAAGAGCTCAAAGGCCTGTGCTCGGAAGACTACTAAGTCAATCTCAGACCAATCAGCATAGTTAATATAATTCCAATCCAATTTTGACAAAGTATTTTATACTTGTCAAAGCTAATTATAAAATGTATGTGGTTTTGTCAGCATGCAGGAAGCAGAGGCAGACCAATACCCATAAGTCTGAGGCAAACCTGGTCTATGTAATGTTGAAAGCCTTTCACAAAAAACATGAACTAATTGGCTAAAAATTGAATTTATATTTCCCTAATGAACAAACATGCTGAACATTTTTCAAGTATTTACTGGCCATTTGTATTTCTCCATTTGCAAGCAAGTTTTGTGTATTTATTGAATTATTCATTCTACTTGGGCTTAAGTTTTTGAGTCTTTATATATTCTGGATATTAATGCCCATTGGATGAATAGTTGAAGAGATTTTCTCCCATTTTGCAGGCTGTCACTTCACTCTGGCAACTTTTTCCTTTGCTGTACAGACATCTTTTAGCTTAGGGAGATGCATGTCTCCATCTTTGCAATTCCTTCCCGAGCTACTGGAGTCCTACCCAGGAAGTCATTATTTGTGACTGTATTTGGAAGTGTTTATTTCTTGTTTTCCTCTAGCCATTTCAAAGTTTCAGTCTTACATTAAGTGGGGGAAAGAAGAAGACATGATAATAGAAGAGAGACTATCACGGGCTAGGGAAGGGGCATATGCGGGAGGCACAGGCAGTTAGTGTGGTAAGAAATAACCTCAACCCATAATGTAAAACTTTATACAAAAATGTTCTCAAGATGGAGCTAAGCAAAAAAAAAAAAAAAAGTAAATCTAGGGACTGAAGAGATGGCTCAGCAGTTAAGGGCACGAGCTGCTCTTCCAGGGGTTCTGGGTTCAATTCCCAGCACCCATACAGCAGCTCACAGCCATCTGTAACTTTAGTCCCATGGGATCTGATGCCCTCTGCTAGTGTACGGACATATGTGTAGATAAAATGCTCATATACAATAAAATAAATAAATCTTTAAAAAATGTGCATCTATACTTGTTTCATTTCTTCAATGGAGTTCCGTGACTTAAACATAAATTTATTTAACTAAACTTGACAGAAATTTGTTCCGGCTAGGTGGGAGACACTTGTTGAGATGATGTGTGCTCCACTGGAGAGGTGGATGCACTTTCGTTTTTTTTTTTTTTTTTTTTTTTTTGGTTTTTCGAGACAGGGTTTCTCTGTGGCTTTGGAGGCTGTCCTGGAACTCGCTTGGTAGTCCAGGCTGGTCTCGAACTCACAGAGATCCGCCTGCCTCTGCCTCCCAAGTGCTGGGATTAAAGGCGTGCGCCACCAATGCCCGGCCCGCACTTTCGTCTTTTTTTTAGCCTAAGTTTTAATTTCTGAAGTTACCTTAATGCCTCCACCCCTAGTACATCAACAAGGAGTGGGATTATGATGGCTAAAACAATTTTGAAAAACAAAAAATTGATGCTATCTAGTTTCAAGTTTTAAGTTTATCACATCTATGACAATCTTTCCTTGATTTTCAGTTGTTTAATTTTTACTTAGTTTTGAAACATTGAAGGGGAACAAGGGACCTTGCATGGCTACATGAGCACTGGGTTACTGCCACAGTCCCTTTCTTGACTTTGTATCACAGTACAAAATTAAGGCATGGAAAATCTTATATACAAATGGCAAGCATACTGGGAAAGCCATCAGGGAATCAATCCCATTCCCAATAGCCTTACAAAAATATCTCAGAATAAATCTAAATAAGGTAGTGAAGACTTGTATAATAAAAACACTAGCACACTGAAGAAAGGACTTGAAGACACCAAGACATGAAAAGACATCCATACTCGGGATTGGCAGGAAACTGGCCACCCTGACAAAAGTAATTGACAGATTCAATGCAAACTCCATCAAAATTCCAACACCATTACTTACAAAAAATTAAAGAATAATCTCAACTTTCATTTGGAAACACAAAAGTCCCAGGATGCCAAAACAACTCTGAGAAATAAAAGAACTTTTTATAGATAACACCATTCCTGATTTTAAATTATACTACAGTGTCACAGTCATTAAAACTACATGCATTGGCATAAAAACAGACATATTGATCAGTGGAATAGAACTGAAGACCCAACTATTAGTCCATACACCAAGCACTACCTAATTTTTGACAAAGAAGCCAAAAATATACACTAGAGAAAAGACAGCATCTTCAACAAGTGTTGCTGGTCTAATGGATAGCTATACAGAGAAGAATAAAACTATATTCTTATTTCTCACTCTACACAAAACTCTACTCCAAATGGATGAACTACCCCGGGGTAAGACCCAAATCTTACTAAAGAGAAAGTATGGAATATGCTTCAACTTAAGGCACAGGAAAGTACTTTCTCCACAGGTCTCTGATAGCACAAGCATTAATACTAACAAATGACAAACAGGGCCATGAGAAACTAAAAAGCATCTTATAAGAAAGGACAGTAGCACCCAAGTAAAGAGGCAGCCTATGGGATGAGAATAAGTCCTTACCAGCTATCCACCTGACAGAGGATTAGTGCACACAATCAACAACAACAAAAACCCTAAATACCAAGAAAACAAACAACCAGATTTTTTTTTTTTTGGTTTTTCGAGACAGGGTTTCTCTGTATTGTTTTGGAGGCTGTCAGTCCAGCCCAGCCTGGAACTCACAGTTATCCGCCTGCCTCTGCCTCCCGAGTGCTGGGATTAAAGGCGTGCGCCACCACCGCCCAGCCAAACAACCAGATTTTAAAAATGGAGCACGGAACTAAGTAGAATTCTCAAAAGACAAAATACAAATGGCTGAGAAATACTTTTTAAAATGTTCATCATCCTTAGCCACCAGGAAAACACAAATTAGAATTACTTTGAGATTCATCTTGTCCCAATCAGAACGGTAAGATCAAAGAAACAAATGACGATGCTGCATGGGTACGTGCAAAGGGGACCACTCACTGACCGCTGGTGGGAGCAAAAAGTGACGCAACCACTTTGGAAACCAGTGTGGAGGTACATCACACAACCAGAAATGTGCCTACCATGTGCTCCAGCTGTGCCATTCTTGGGCATACAACCAAAGGAGTCCAGATCTAACTACAGAGATACTTGCTCACCCGTGCTCACTGCTGTTGTATTCACAACAGCCAGCAAATGAAAACAGCTTCGATGTCCATCATATGATGTGTGGAAAATGAAAATGTAATATATATACACAATAGAATATTATTGAGCTGTAAAAAAATTGAAGATAAATAAGTAGAGCTAGAAATCATTCTGAGTGAGGTAACCTACGCAAAAAAAAATACCACACATTTTCTCATGTGATGTGCAGGTCAGCTCTGACTTTTTAGATATGTGTTCAAATTCCTATAGAAAGCAGGAGCCTAGTAAGAGGGGAATAGAACACAAGTGGTATGAAAGAAGAAAGAGGAATAATGCAATAGGAAGAGTTAAGGTGGTGGGGAATAGGAGGGCAGGGTGGGGGGCATATGGAGAGGGATAACCTGCACTAAATGCCTTTGAATAGAAATTCGTAAAACTACTACAGAAGCTTCCTAGAAATATACATACAAATCATATATGAAAGGAGTTTGAGTACAGTCATTCTATAATAGGTCCAATACCTCTCCCAGATACATTGGGCTATCAAATAAATATCTTAGTGCCAGGCTTTTCGAGCTGTTGGTCAGTGGGGTCTCACAGACAACTCAAATATTACAGGCTATTGCCATGACTCTTAGTTACCCAAAGAACTTGATGGCAAGCCCCTGTTGCTGAAGGTATCGTATACTTGAGTCATAAGACACGGATAAACCAAGGTGGTACCAACCTGGAAGCTGCGTCCCTACTTGCTAGCTTTCATAGCGCTGGCAGGCTCTATGCACAATGAAAACTCACCCCACATTTTATTGAATCCCTGTTACAAATGTCCTAGCAAGATATGCCAACTGGTACAATAGCATCAAAAATGCTATGGGAGTAACCAACTAGCTTTAATGCCTGCTTCACAACATAGAACTCATATCATACCTGGTACCATTAACAGAACCAAAACCCAGTAGCTGGTTAGGTCATGGGCCCTAGGGAAGAACCTATTATCATCTTGCTAAATGGACATAGTAGTAAACGACCCACTAAGTTTTTATCACTATCCCCACAGATTAAGGAGTCTCTCAACCCACATCAAGAAGCTTCTTTTCATAATCGCTGGTGATTAACACAGACCTAAGTGCAATCAAGACTGCAGCGTGCTCAGCCCTAACTCAACAGCCTATCAGGCCCTCTTCTCCCAAATCTCAGGGACCAGTGGAGAGGTTGTAGGCAGTGGATAAAAACTACAGTGGTTATGAAAGCATACACAAAACCTGTGCAAACTCATGTTCAATTATAAAAGATATTTCATGAAAACCTGCCAAGATATTTGCATAAAAATTATACAAGTGCTTGTCTTAAGGCACCAATCGCCACAGTTCAGGATTAGCAGAAGGGTCTTCTGTGAACGTCCCATGCTATCACATAAAATGTTACAAAGATGTGCACTTAACGGTCAAGGGTTAACGAAATCAATACTTTTACTGTAACATTGAAACATTGAAATTTAATGTAAATCCTTCACCTTGTCTTAATTTTTTTATTGTTTAAATTTTTTTTCATTTTACATACCAACCCCAGGTCTCCCTTCCTCTCTTTCTCCCTCCCATCTGCCTTCCCCACTTCCCATCCCCCATCCACTCCTCACAGTGGGTAAGGCCTTCCCTGGAGAGTTCATAAAGTCTGGCATACCAAGATGAGACAGGGCCAACCCCTCACCTCCATCAAGGCTGATCAAGGTATCTCACCATAGGGAATGGGCTCCAAAAGGCCAGTTCATGTGCCTGGGATAGATCCTGGTGTCACTGCCAGGGGCACCCCCAACAGATCAAGTCATGTAACTGTCACCCACATTCAGAGGGTCTAATTCAGTTCCATGCAGGTTGCCCAGCTGTAAGTCCATAGCCTGTGAGCTCCCACTAGCTCAGGTAAGTTGCCTCTGTGGTTTTACCCATTATGGTCTTGACCACCCTTGTTCAGATGATCCCTCCTCCCTCTCTTCAACTGAACTCCAGGAGCTCAACCCAGTGGCTGTGGGTCACTGCATCTGCTTCCATCAGTTACTGGATGTAGGTTCTATGGTGACAATTAGGGTGGTCACCAATCTGATTAGAGGGATGGAAGGGGAGAACAAGGAGGGAGATATCTTGATAGAGGGAGCCATTGGTGTTGGGGAGATTCTCAGGAATTCATAAGGATGACCCCAGCTGAGACTCCTAGCAATAATTGAGAGGGCATCACCTGTCTTTAAAGCAATGGTTCTCAACATGTGGGTCGTGACCATTTTGGGGGACAAACAGTCCTTTCACAGGGGTCGCCTAAGACCATTGGAAAATATAGATGTTTACATTATGATTCTTAATGATAGCAAAATTATGGTTATGAAGTAGCAATAAAATAATTTTATGGTTGGGGGTCACCACAACATGAACTGTATTAAAGGTCTCAACATTAGGAAGGTTGAGAACCTTTAAAGAATTGTTCTTGGCCGGGCGTTGGTGGCGCACACCTTTAATCCCAGCTCTCGGGAGGCAGAGGCAGGCGGATCTCTGTGAGTTTGAGGCCAGGCTGGACCGACAACCTCCAAAACAATACAGAGAAACCCTGTCTCGTAAAACCAAAAAAAAAAGAAAAGAAAAGAAAAGAATTGTTCTTGGTTCAGAGCAGAATGCTGACTTACTGTGACACAAATATTTTATGAACAGTGTATCTGAGATGAAATTTCAGCAAGGAAATAGGAAAGAACTCCCTCCACAATATATTTAATATGTAAACACTGTAAAATAGTATGTGCCAAAATGTACAACAATACATTTCATATGTCAACATAACTCACAACTTCTGCTACTCAACAATACATTTCATATGTCAACATAACTCACAACTTCTGCTACTCAACAATACATTTCATATGTCAACATAACTCACAACTTCTGCTACTCAACAATACATTTCATATGTCAACATAACTCACAACTTCTGCTACTCAACAATACATTTCATGTCAACGTAACTCACAACTTCTACTACTCAACAATACATTTCATATGTCAACGTAACTCACAACTTCTGCTATCAGCTTGTGCAGTCTTTCCTTAGCCATTCCCTGCCATCACCCTCCTTGTTTTCAGTCATGCAGGACAGTCATCCACCTATCATTGCTTTTACACCATTAGGACAAATGCGATTTGCTCATTACCCAAACCCTCGAAAGGGTTCGAGGACACTTGGGGCTCTACAGACCCTACTTTGAGAGCTACTGGTTTATTTAACCCTGAAGGTGATTTTAAGCCAGTCATACTTTCCTAGTTTAATATAGAGATTCTTTTTTTATCTTTTTAGATTTATCTATTTTATGTTTATGAGTTTTTGCCTGCATGTATGTGTGTATGTGCACCACGTAAATGGCTGGTACCTGTGGAAGTCAGAAGAGGGCATCGAATCCTTTGGAACTGGAGTTACAGATGACTTTGAGACACCACGTAGCTGCTGGGAATCAAACATGGGTCCTCTATAAGAGCAACAACTGCTGTTAACCACTGAGTCAATTCTCCAACCCCATAGATTCTCTTTCGAAAACCCTCACTGAACATGTGTGTGCACACACAAAGTTAAACAAATTAAGTTACTCACCTTGAACTTGTTCATTTTCTGTTGTGTTTTTAGAAAGGGCTTCTCCACCCTTTAAAGTTGTGAGAGTAAAGTCATAAGAAACGGTATGCCACAGCTCCGGGTCTCCTGTGAGAAATTTGTATACAACATTTTAGCACTATCTATGGAGAAGCTGTCCTTTTGATACAATCAGAAAGTCTACAGTGAAGTAATACTCACTTACCTATTGATAGTTCTAACATAATGATGATGAGCCTGAAACATTTTTTCTTTAATTAAATTTAAACATTTCAACTGTCTGTTTGAAAGTCCGTATTTGCTTACTGACTAACACAAAAGAACTGAACACTATGACACTGAATAATAGATTAGTTTCAAAGGTGGTATAACATATGCAAACTGAGAACTTGGTGTTTACATTGGTGATAACATTTTTTCTTTAGTACTACAACTCCCCAAAAGTTAGAAAGTCATTTCAAAGCTTTCAAGCATGAGACACATCTTCCTAAATTGCACTGTCTTAATACAAAAAGAAAACAAAACACTTCTTCAAGAACCTTACAAATGATACATTTTCATTTACATGTGATACATTTTGTCTTTGGTTCTGTTGGTGACACTTAGTTTCAATGCTGTTATCTTTAAAAGGAAAGGAATCAGACAATTGTGATTAACCCTCATGCAGCCTTTAGTCAAGTCTTGACACAGGAACACAACAAATCTAGATCCTTAAGACTATCCTCTCAAGACAGGCTAAATCTGGGGTAAATTTTAATTAAGTCTTAATGAACTTTGACATGACACCCAAATCTAGTTTTGAAATAAATCCATCCCAAAATATCAGTTTGAAGCCAGATGTGCTGATGCACACTTTTACTCCCCGCACTGGAAAACCTGGGGCAGGAGGACAGCAAGATCCAGTCAAGCTTATGCTACACAGTGAGAGCTACACCAGCTTGTCATACACAGTGAGACCTTGTTTTTTAAAAAAGTCGTTAATTAGAGAACAGTTTTAGTTCTATATGCCCTAAGCAGGCATATGGTGTATACAGTTAAAAGAACCAAATGCTCAAATCCAGCCTGCAGGGTGCTTTCAACATGCCTAATATATAAGCAACAAGGCCAGGTACAAATGAGCTAATCATCAGCATTAGGAAATCGCCTTCATAATAGAGATCATAAATGAATTATAATTTTCATCTTTTAAAGAAGGAACTCTGTCTCTGCTAGACTGGATGGCAAACACCTGTAAACCCAGCGTTCCCGAGGAAGAGGCACGAGGGTCCACAGTTCCAAACTAGTCTGGAGCTACAAGACCAGATCGCGCACCCCTCCCCCACCCAATCTGTCTCATTTCCATTCCCTCTGAGGCTGAATACGATATTCACCTTCTCAATAAAATTTAATATCGAAAGGTATTTTAAGAAACAATACTGTTACCCAAATAACTGCTCAACAGTCTGACAAAGGATGGTTATAGGGATGTAGGGAGAGCCTTAATTTTTCGTTCACATCAAGGGATCCAGAGAAGGCTCAAGAATTTTTAGAAATAAAAAACTCCAGGTATGATCAAGTGTGCTTCATCGCTGTGTTTTCGGCCGCTGGCCGCTGCGCAGAAACAAACGCAGACAGAACCGCCAGGGACTGGCGGTAACCACAGAGTAAAACAAAAGAGGATTAAGGCCACCCGCAGGTACTGGGTAAATCAAACAGCCTCCAGTGAAGGCGCCTGGAGCGCGGAGATGAAAGGACCCAACACCGGTAAACGGGAAGCTTTCCGCCCTGCAGGTTCCTCGGCACCCTGCACGACCGCCCAGCTCCGTGCGCTCAGGGCGAGTCTCACCTCGGTGACATCGGTGTCAGAGATTCCACGGCCTCCGCTGCAGACGCGCGGGGGGTGGCTGAGCAGCGGGCGGACGCCAACGTGGCGGGCGGACGAGGAAGCGGTGAATGGGCGCCACGTCACCCGGGCGGAGGCTCAGACCGACCTTCCCGCCACTGCCCTCCCCTGACCAGCTCGCCCCGCGCCCCTCCCGCCGCCGCCCCCCCCCCCCCCCGAGGGGTGTCCTCAGCTCGCCCGCTCGCCCCCTGCGCCTGTCGCACTCCGAGGACCCCAGGCTCCGAGGATGCCGCGGTGCTTAGCCACCCCCAAGCCCCCCAGTTCTCCACCCCTCTAGTCCCCCATTCCCCCCAGTCTACCCTAAGCAAAGGATAAAACTTCCGCGGGTGACAGAAGAGGGCTCCGCCCATGCGCCGAACGACCCTCTGTGGGGAACTACGCTTTCCAGAAGCCTCCGCGACGACTCCATTTTGGGTCACGTTATGAAGTTTGGCGCTGAGTGCATCACTGCTGTGTGCTGTGCCACACCCCCGCAGGCCTGGTCTTTATGCGGATGATTGAGCGAGCAGTGGGCACCCTGGGCGGGAAGCCAGAGGCTGGCTGAGGTCGTGCAGTGTGTATTGGGAGTACTCGGAATCAAGTGCGATCTTACACCCAAAGATTTCAGTTTTGTCCTAGGATTACTAGCTTTCGAAGCTATGTAAATGGTAACACGAAACGAGAGAAACTAAAAACAAAACAAACAAACAAAAAGTAGTATATATAAACCAAAGGAGCAGACAGCAAATAAAGGGTCATACATGTTTTAAGGCTTTAGCCAACCAATACAGATGCTATTAGTGCTGTCTTCTAAGAATGATATACTGAATATGTAAAACAACTTGTGTATGTCCCTGTCGACAACTTCAGTTTGCAATGTACTAACTTTAAAAAATTAAATGTTTCATCAGAAAATTACAATTAATACACATGGAATACATGCATGATATGTAGTATGGTGCCAGAGCTTTTAGGATCAAAGGCTGAGCCCTGGCAACCAAAAGAAGCCAGGCTCTCCCATTAGAGACAGTGCTATCGCCAGGTCGCAGTGGGCCTTTAATTCTAGCACAGAAAGGCAGATCTCTGAGTTTGAAGCCAGCTCTTGTTCTTGCTAAGGACCCAAGTTCAATTCCAAGCATCCACATGGCAGTTAACAAGTAAGTCCAACTCCAGGGAATCTGCTGCCCTTTTCTGGCCCCTGAGAGCACTTCATGCACTCATATACATAAAATAAAAATAAATATTATTTTTTAAAAAACTAATCCATAATGGCTGTGGTACCTTGATGGCTAATCTAACCTTAAGTAGTTAGTTTTAGGAAAGACAACTTGTGGAGTAAAACTCACTGCTTAAGGGAGTATTAATTAGCCTGGTGGTGGTGGTGGCAGACCAGCACTTTAATCCCAGCACTTGGGAGGCAGAGGCAGGCAGATCTCTGTGAGTTCAAAGCCAGCATGGTCTACAGAGTGACTTCTAGGATGGCAAGGGCTATACAAAGAAACCCTGTCTTGAAAAACAGAGAGGGGGAAGAGAGGGAGCACACACACACACACACACACACACACACACACACACACACACACACAGAGAGAGAGAGGGAGGGAGGGAGGGAGAGAGAGGTGTTTGTCCTCTCAGATACAGACCCAGCACAAACAGCCCATGAGATAAGACTAAATAATCCCCCAGCAGCTGTGATAAACTTCCCCCCCGCCTCAGCCATTCAAGACGATGCATCCCCAGAGAGCTTTCTTGATGTGGCTGTACATACTGAACTTAATAAATGCTTTACTTCTGCCTTTCTTTTTGCTTCTGTAAATCCACGACAGCATCTCCATCCCTGACCTGATCAATGCATGGCACACCCATTTGTACTCTAGTTACACATATACACATGTACTCTAGTTACACATATACACCTTATAGGTACACGGTACCTTTCCGGATGTCAGGTGTTGGGAAAATAACTAAAAATAAAGCTCCCTGCCTGCCAACCACAGATGGCCAAAGGAATAACAGCTTTATTTCTGGAAAAAGAAAAAGTGTCATCCAGATGAGTTACAGGTCACCCACTGATGAGTTTGCAAAGGCACAGCTTCACATCGACATGCACCACCCATCCATCACATGTTCTCAAGACGAAAGAGAGAAAGTACAGAAGGGTAGCTGAACCTATTTGCTATACCTAGTTTGTCTTAAATCTTCCTCAGGGATCTCTGTTAATTTACAGCCTTGCCCAACCAAAAAGCGATGCTTCTTACATTTCATGTGACTGGTGCCAACAGCAACGGGGCAGGCTCCTCAGACACAGCTTTCTCTGATTTGTTGGTGTCAGCTTTGGATTCAGATTGGACTTATTTCAAATGCAGATTCTTAGGCACTACCCCAACTGGAAGAGAGAAGGTAGGAGACTCACCAGTCTGTTTTACAAAGAGTCTGTGTAATGCTGGTAGCCGCTAAGTTTAAGAATTGCTTACTTTTTTTCCCCCTCTCAATCTTCTTAAAGCTTCTGGTTTACACTTGATGAATCATCTCTACCAAGTTACATCTCAAACCTTTTATCTTTATCCCTTCATTTCTAGTTCAGAGTATTATGACGTTTTCCTAAAATGCCATGCCGCTGTTCTAGCATCCGCGGCTAGCCTGGAGAAGCAGGACCTTTCTGCCCAGTGAGTTGGTGTCCACTGCTCATTGATCTCTCCCATCATCAGTACTGTTAGTGTAACAGGTTCCTACACCAGTATTTTCTGCAAGTGGTGGCAGTTTTTATTTAAGTAGTTCACTGCCTTTCTCGAGAGAATTAGTTCTATAAATAGAAACTTGATCACATAGCATACACTCATATCTTTGTCTCTCTTTCTATATATATATATACATATGCATATGCATATGTATATATGTATATATATATATAAACAAACCTAAATTAAGGCATGCACCATAGAAGATTTCCAAAACCTAATTAATTAGTTATCTTTTCCTATATCTTATATAGGTGTTACAATCAGGGCAGTTAAAAAAATCTTTCCATTTTATTCATGTCCCAATGTCTCCAAATGGAAAAACTAGGTCCTACTTACAGTAAATAAAAGTGTAAGCTGCATTTCTTCTCCCCTTATTGGCATCTCCGAAAGATCTGTGCTTCTGCTCTGCCAAACCAGAAAAGCCTGTGCTGCTCCAAATCCCCCCCCCACTACTTCCCATGTCTCTCTACCTCTCTAGGGTGCCCTCTGATGCTCTAGGTTTACTTTCTATCACCTAGTTGCTCACTCAGTCTCCTCACCCAATGTTACTTTCATTTAATCAACACAAATGCAAACTCAGGGTTCATGGTGTGATCGAATATTCCCCAACAGAATGCATTGGGAGACTTGCTCATTTTTCCATGCATTTTTAACTTAGCACAATGGGAACATGCTTCATTATTATTGTCCTTTCCCTACAAAGTACAAACTGATGCAAATATTCTAAAACCATCTTGATGAGATGTAAGCAATAATCACAGTAAAGACTCATATCTTTTTTTTATAACACCTAATTGTAACTATTTCAGATGGAAGTGAAATTCCAGGGACTGGTATCATTTAAAGATGTTAACTGTGGGCTTCAGTCAGGAGGAGTGGCGGTCCCTGAACAGGGATGTAACCACTGTAGCTACATTGTCACTGTAGCTATTTCCTGTGTAATGCACAACATTTGTGTATTCCTTCAATTGTGAAGCATCTGGGCACTTTGTGAAGTTTAATGATATTGATATTTCAATTAAGACAATCTTGACCAATGTTGAGTATCAGAAGATTGTGGAGTATGTGAGTGTGTGTGCATTTGCGTGTGAGAATCACATGACATGTGTGTGTGGAAGTCAGAGGACAAGCTTGTGTGTCAGCCCTGGCCTTGCACCTTATTTGAGATGCACCAGGCTAGCTGGCCTGCAATTGTCCAAGGACTCTCCGTCTCTGTTTCTCATTTCTCCATAGTAGTTCTGGTCTGGGATTACAGTTGCTCACACCACACACCTGAGGGTTGTGAGGATTCACACGTGGGCTCTAAGGCTTGTGCAGCGAATGTTTTTCCCACTGATTCATTTCCCCAGCCCGGTTGATATTTCTGTTCATTTCTCTATTGAGATATTTTAGGGGCCTCATGTTTCTACCTGAAGATATTTCTTTTCATTTCTCTATTGAAATGTTCCAAGGGTCTCATGTTTTTACCTGTATTAGAAGACATGATGTCTGGCCTTTTTTTTTTTTTTAATCTTCTAGCATTTTCTTCAGTTTCTTTCCTCAGTACCTTAAAGTCTTTATTAGTGGTTAGGTTTTTTTGTTTGTTTGTTTTGTTTTTGTTTTTCCAGACAGGGTTTCTCTGTGGCTTTGGAGGCTGTCCTGGAACTAGCTCTTTAGACCAGGTTGGTCTCGAACTCACAGAGATCCGCCTGCCTCTGCCTCCTGAGTACTGGGCTAGTGGCTAGGTTTAATTCAAGTTTTTTTGTTTGTTTTTTAAGGCAGTTATGAATTTTTCCTGATTTCCTTTCCAGCATGTTTTTATGTTCAGGAAGGTGTGGTGGTTTGATTATGAATGGCCCCCATAGATTCATGTGTTTGAATGCTTGGCTTACAGGAAGTGGCACTATTAGGAGATGTAGCTTGTTGGAGAAAGTGTGTTATTCTGGGGTGGGTTTTGAGGTTTCATATGCTCAAGCTATGCCCCGTGTGGTACACAGTCTCCTTTTGCTGCCTGCAGGTCAAGATGTAGAATTCTCAGCTCCTTCTCCAGCACCAAGTCTGCCTGCATGCTGCCATGCTTCTCACCATGATGATAATGGAATAAACTTCTACAACTGCAAGCCAGCCCCAATTAAATGTTTTCCTTTATAAGAGTTCCCATGGGCCGGGCGTTGGTGGCACACGCCTTTAATCCCAGCACTCGGGAGGCAGAGGCAGGTGATCTCTGCGTTCGAGGCCAGCCTGGTCTACAGAGCGAGTGCCAGGACAGCCTCCAAAACAATACAGAGAAACCCTGTCTCGAAAAATCAAAAAAAAAAAAAAAAAAAAAAAAAGAGTTCCCATGGTCATGGTGTCTCTTCACAGCACAGAAACACTAAGACAGAGGGTTATTTGAGTTCAGTGTTAGTTTTGTGTCC